TTAAAAATTTATTTATTTGAAAGTCAGAGTTATACACAGAGAGGGAGATAGAGAGTGAGAGAGAGACAAAGAGAGAGAAAGAGAGAGGGAGAGACAGAGAGGGAGAGATTTTCATTCACTGGTTTACTCCCCAGATGGCTACAATGGCTAGGGCTGGGCCAGGCTGAAGCCAGGAGCCAGGAACTTCATCTGGTCTCCCTCGTGGGTGGCAGGGGCCCAAGTGCTCGGGCCATCTTCCACTGCTTTTCCCAGGCCACCAGCAGGGAGCTGGATTGGAAGTGGAGCAGCCAGGATGTGAACTGATGTCATATGGAACCACAATGCTGTCCCCAAGTACACATTCTTAACAGGATGAAAATTATTTTATTTATTACATTTTAATTCATTTTCATTTTATGAGAGAGAGAGAGAGAGAGAGAGAGATCTTCTATCTGCTGATTCTGGTTCACTCTCCAAATGCCCACAACAGCTGTGGCTGGGCCAGACACAGGACAGTGTTGTGAGGAACTCAACCCTTGACTGGGCTTGTTCCAAGTTCTTATCTCCAGGAGAGACAGGAATGCAAGGAGCAGACCTAAGGTGTACAGGAAAACGAGAGTTATTGAAGGGGTTAGTACCTATTTAGACGTCGTGTGGGCAACCTCTCTTCACTAGGAAGGAAGGGCTGCTGCCCCCACCAAAGTTGGGATTGTCCTTTTAAAGGGTAGAGGGTGGTGCCTGGGCGGGGCCTGATTGAATAGTCAAAGGAGGAGGAGTCTGGGGAGGGCTTGAGTACGGCTCACTTCTGTGTCCCTGCTTTGGCTCACAGAAGTGTCATGACCTCTCCGTGTAAGGCTGGAGCACACACGTGGAGATCTCTAGGTAGGTATCCTGATGCCTCATGCAGGATGGGAAGTGAGGCGCAGGTGAACGATGAGGAATGGGTGTGCCGAGCCTGCCGTCCTATTGGTATTTCCAGCCGGCTTACACAGAAGGCCTGGATGGATGTGTGCAGGTGTGGGTGCTGCTGGCGGTCCTCAGTGTCTCCTGGTTCACCAGCTGTCAACCTGCCCACATCACCAGGAACTCAGTCCAGGTCTCCCACTTGGGTGGCAGGAGCCCAAGTACTCGGGCCATCATTTGCTGCCTTTCCAGGGTAGCAGGCAGCTGGAGGGGAAGTGGGGCCAGGACTTGAACCAGACACTCCAATATGGGATGTGGGTGGTCCCATGTGGTGTTTTAACTGCCACACTGGATAAAATGATTTCAGATTTCATATGGAATAAAATATATGTAAGAATTGCCAAGAAAAATTTAAAAAGGAAAACTTATATGTGGGTGTTTGCCATGCTATATATGAAAACATAATTAAAATCTACTGTTTGTTTAGGGAAAGCAGAAAGTTGTTTATAAATTGGCTAGAATAGAATTTCCGGAAAATATTTTGAATACACTTAGATATTTAATCTATGGTAAACTTGGCACCTCCGTTTAGGGGTAAGTGGTTTATTTGGTGTTATATTGAAACACTTGCATCTCAGTATAGAAGAAAAGAGCTTAGTCTCATACTTTACATCATATATAATATGAATTTTAAATGAGTTGAAAATATATAAACCTATAAAGAAGTGAAAAGTGTGGGGAAGCATTTGGACACCTTGAAGTTCAGGGGAGGTCTGTAGCTAAAGAGACCTAGAAGCCACTTAAAAAGGAAGCAGTATTGACTATAAAGTGTTAACCATGCAACAAGTCATAAGCAAAGTCAAAGATGTACTAAGCTTGGTAAAAAATGTGCACCAGGGGCCGGTGCTGTGGAGTAGCGGGTAAAGTCGCCGCCTGCAGTGCCGGCATCCCATATGGGTGCTGGTTCAAGTCCTGGCTGCTCCACTTCCAATCCAGCTCTCTGCTATGGCCTGGGAAAGCAGTGGAAGATGGCCCAAGTCCTTGGGCCCCTGCACCTGCGTGGGAGACCCGGAAGAAGCTCCTGGCCCCTGACTTCTAGCCTCAGATCGGCTCAGCTCCAGCTGTTGTGGCCAACTGGGGAGTGAACCAGCAGATGGAAGACCTCTCTCTCTCTCTCTCTGCCTCTCCTCTGTGTAACTCTGAAATAAAATAAATAAATCTTTTTTTAAAAATGTGCATCATGCACAGTGATATTGACTCTAATTTTAAAAGAGCTTCGACATGTTGAAAAGGAAAAGTCAAGTACAACTGTTTGAAGAGAAGGATATAGAAGAGGCCAATAGGGGCCGGCTTGTGGCGCAGCCTGTGGCACCAGCATCCCAAAAGAGTGGCGGTTAATGCACCTGGGAAAGCAGCGGAAGATGGCCCAAGTGCTTGGGCCCCTGCTGCCCGTGTGGGAGACCCGGATGGAGCTCCTGGCTTCTTGCTTCTGTCTGGCGCAGACCTGCTATTGCAGCCATCTGGGGAGTGAGGCAACAGATGGAAGACGTCTCCCTCTCTCTGTGTAACTCTGCCTTTTACGTAAATCTTAAAAAAAAAAAAAAAAAGAGGCCAATAAGCTCAAGAGAAACCATGACCTCACAGAATCAAGTATAATGAAACAACAGCAGGATGCATTTTTCACTGTTCTTAGGAGAAATCGAAGGGAATGACTTCACCCAGATTGGGCAAGTTTGTGCAATACAACAACCTTTTTTTGGGAAATAATCTGGCAGTATCTATCAAAATAAGAAACACAGACTTTTGGCATAAAGATCCCACTTTTGGAAATCTACAGAAATAAAAGTCATTTCAAGGGAATATTTACAGGAATGCTTATTGTAACATTCTTTATAGCAGCAAAAAACTAAAAGCGCCTTTCCGTCATTGGTGAGGTGATTGTAGAAGCCTGCTCATAGCACATTTAGATTATGGAGTACTCCGAAGTTCTTTAAAGGAATGACTTTAAATATGTTGACCTGAGAAGTTGTCAGTGATGTATTGAGTGGGGAACATAAGGCAACCAAGTTCCAGAGATAGGTAAATTGTATGCTTCCTTTAAAAAGAAAAAAATACTGAAAGAAAAAAAAAATCCCATTAATTGAATGAGCAAGCATGAAATAGAAGGACTGCTTAGAGGAGCAAGGATGCATGCAAATACTTGAAATGACCTAGATCTGGATTTCGGAAAGGGACAGGAACCAGCCAAATATTTGCTCCTGACAATTTTTCTCACTTTTGTTCTTGGAAGAGCATAATTTATAGGAAGCCTCTGGTCTGCTGGATTGCAAGTGAATCAAGTCCCTAAGGAGCATTTCACTGAGACTGTTACAAGCTTCCCCTGCGGATCGGTGGCATAAGGAAGGTGGAGAGATTTTCCTAGCACCAGCGTGACGTCACAGGGCTTCCCCGTACGTTCATTCAACCAGGACTGAAAGAGCTCTGCCCATGTGCAGCCTGGGAGACCGTGGTGGGGCCTGGGGGTGGGGAGGAAAGCATGGCCCTTGCCCACAAGCTGCCACCAGTCTGGCGCAGATTGGCAGGCGCAGAGGTTCATGTGGAGGGTACAGAATTGTGGTGCATGAAGTGACGTCAGTATTGACCAGAGGGCAGTAGTAGATTTGCCATCCCGGAAGTGGGGCTGCTGATTGTGGTCGGTATCACCAGGCTCTCTCTAGGGGTGCACCGTTTTCACCAGCAATCAGTGGGTGTGCAGAAGGAGTATTTTTTTACCTTTGAAGTAAAATAGATGTTGCCTTTCAAGAGCATAAACATTTTTTTTCTGGTGGAAACTGTTAACGTCACCATCAATTGTTTTATGGGCAGCATCGAAAGACATAAACGCAGGACGCGAAGTCAAGTTTGTTTACTTTAACATCAGGCTCGGAAAGTCTGGGTGGGGAATCTTTTGAATAGTTGGTGTTGAAAGTCCTCACACCAGACTGCCTTGCCCCTAGTATGTGGTCAGACTGTGTCGCTGGCACAGATGACTGACAGGTATGTGACAAGCTTCCTGCCCAGGGGAGTGGACAGAGACCCTTCCAATGTCCACTGTCTTGTGCAGCGAGAGCCCCATGGTGGCCTACAGATCAGATGTCGTTCTTCCTGACATTGGCTCCCTGGCTCCGCAGCTCTGTATCTACCCAGCTCTATCCAGCCTGCTCTGTCTGGGGGCAGTGACTCTGGGTGCCTTCAATACCCAATGAGAATCTTATGGCATGTGATGTTTGAGTGGTTTCCTCCTGACATAATTACTAACATTTCATACCGGGAAGGTGCTTAGCTTTGTAGCATTTTAACTTGCCCTATTCCAATTCCCTTGGTGCCAAAACTAGACAAAGACTTCAGAAGAAAACTACAGACAAGTAAGGATCTGTTGTGAATATGTGTGCAAAAATCCTCAGCAAAATACTAGCTAACTGAATAGAGCAACATAAAGGCTTGTATTCAGTGACCAAGTGGGATTCATCCCCATAGGCAAAGCTAGTTACTACAAAAGCACATGAAGATCAATGTAATATACCATATTAGCAGGATAAAGGACAACAGTGCATAAAACATAATGAAGCTTTTTCGGCCACAAATACAGCCATCATTCATTGGATACAAAGAAGTGAACTTCAAGTGGATCACTTCTTGTCATGTCCTAGGAGTTGCTTTTGATAAAGACTAACTTCTTTATTTTTTATTATTTAAAAATTTTTTTTTGACAGGCAGAGTGGACAGAGAGAGAGAGAGACAGAGAAAGGTCTTCCTTTACTGTTGGTTCACCCTCCAATGGCCGCTGTGGCCGGCACACCGCGCTAATCTGAAGCCAAGAGCCAGGTGCTTCTCCTGGTTTCCCATGGGGTGCAGGGCCCAAGCACTTGGGCCATCCTCCACTGCACTCCTGGACCACAGCAGAGAGCTGGCCTGGAAGAGGGGCAACCGGGACAGAATCCAGTGCCTGGACCGGGACTAGAACCCGGTGTGCCAGCGCCGCAGGCGGAGGATTAGCCTAGTGAGCCGCGGCACCGGCCAAGACAAACTTCTTAATTTCCAACTCTGCCTCCTAAGCATTATTGTAATTTTGCTTTCAGCATCAGCATGACAACCTGTTCCACAGTGGCTGCCCTGGGGATGATGCCACTCTGCCTGTATCTCTACACCTGGTCCTGGAACCTGGCGCAGAACCTCAGAATTCCGTATCAGAACATAGGTCTGTACTGGGCTTGCGACATGGAGTAGGAACGGTAATGGGGCTTACAATAGCCGTTGTAAATGATATACTTGTAATCTCTTCATGCAGGGGTCTTGTGGTACTATAAAAAGTTAATTTAATTTCCTAAATAACTCTACACTATAGATCTTATTACTAATTCAATTTTGTAGATTTTCAGGCTTAGAGGGGTTAAGTAACTTGACCAAGATCATGTAACTGATAAATGTAGAGCTGAAATTCTAACTCAGAAATCTGAATGCAAAGTCCAGGCTCTAAAAAAACAAGAGTTCTTTTTTAAAAAAATAGAGTCAGAGAAATTACTTAAAAAATAAAACCTTATACCATTAGACAACACATAAATTGTTTTCTTTTAAGAATTTTTATAATTTTATTTATTTGAAAAGCAGAGAGATAGTGTGAGAACAAGCATTCCTATTTGCTGGTTCACTCCCCAAATGTCTGCAATGCCTGGGGCTGGGCCAGGCTGAAACCAGGAGCTTGGAACTCAATGCAGGTCTCCCACGTGGTGGCAGGGACAAAGTACTTGAGCCACCACCTGCTGCCTTCCAGGCTGTGTGCTAGCAAGAAGCTGAACTCAGGAGCAGAGCTAGTGCACAAATCCACGCACTCTGGTTTGGGATGCATCTGTCTTAGCTGGGGCCTTACCTGCTAGGCTAAATGCCTGCCCCTGCAAGTGGGCTCCTTGATCCACAATTTAACTGGATCTGGTAACTCTAATTAGAGTTTAGTTCCCAGGAATTTACCTCTAATCGCCTGTGTGCCTTAACTCTTTCTTGTGGATTGAACGTAAATGATCCCTATTGATTTTTAAAAGCTCATCCATGTGTTAAAACCACACCCAGCTATATTTCATCAGCTCCTTTCCTGAATGTTTTTCTCTAAACTCTTCCCTGTTTCTAAAGATCTCTTTGGACAAACTAGGCTTGCAAGAGAATTGTCGGTTCTAGTTGGTTGGAAGCATTGGAGAAGTGCTAGAAACTACGATTCTTAAAACTTTAGTTAGTGTCCATCTGTAATCTCCAGCAAGCACCTTGAGGGTTCACAGCCTACGGCTCACAGTTCGGAATCATAGAGAGCTGGGTAAGAGCTAGAATCCAGTGAACTTGTGAAAACTTGAGACCTTAATTTAGAAACCATGCTTGGGGCCTGCACTGTGGTGCAGTGGGTTAATGCCCTGGCCTGAAGTGCCGGCATCCCAGGCATCCCATATGGACGCTGGTTCGAGTCCCGGCTGCTCCTCTTCCAATCCAACTCTCTGCTGTGGCCTGGGAAAGCAGTAGCAGATGGCTCAAGTCCTTGGGCCTCTGCACCCGCATGGGAGACCCGGAAGAAGCTCCTGGCTCCTGCTTCAGATCAGCACAACTCCAGCCGTTGTGGCCATCTAGGGAGTGAACCAGTGGATTGAAGACCTCTCTCTCTCTCTCTCTCTCTCTCTCTCTCTCTCTCTCTGCCTCTCCTCTCTTTGTGTAACTCTGTCTTTCAAATAAAAAAAAAGAAACCATTATTTTATTTACATACAACCTTTTCTGATCTGTAAGTTCTGTATTCTGTATCGATGATATGTTCTGAAAAGCACTCAGAACCAATTAAAACTCAAAATGTGCTGGGTACCGCATAGAGCTTTGAGGCCATTATTGTAGGTGTTTGGTCAGATTTGGAAAGTGGCACTGGCAGAGGTTGGCATATGGATCCTGCTGGCACGTGGACGGGCACTTCTGCTCCACTCAGCCTGTCTCCAGCGCCTCCATTCCCCTGTGTTAATCACAAGGCGTCTTCTAGCCTCAGGTCTCCTGGGGACGCTTGGAGAGTGTGGGAAACTGCCGTGGCCATGTAGCACATGCTGCTGTCCTGCCTGTAACAGGAACGTCCTCTGTGAAGCAGATGACCCCGTGGCCTCGAGTGAAGCGATAATAGCTCTGGGTGCAGGGGTGGCACCAGGCGCAGCAACCGGAGCAGTCCCTGGGCTGACAGACGGCCTCCTGTCTTCTCGCCATTCTAGTTCTAGTTGTCTGTAAAGTCCCGTGTGACTGGCGGAGGGTTTCTGAGCGGGAAATGCTGGCTCGGGGACGGGGTGGCCATTAGCGTCACGTGCCCTTCAAAGACTGCCTTTCAAAGTTTGTTTTTGATGTGGAGGGGAAATAAAACACAGCTTTAATTGATGCTGTTTGTTCAGTGGTAACAGACTTTGCTAAAGAAGATCTGGGCTTTTCTGCTCACCAGGAATCACCCTAGGGTGCCTGATCATCCCCGTGGCCTTCGGAATCTATGTGAATTTCAAGTGGCCCAAGCAATCCAAAATCATTCTCAAGGTAAGCAACTGGCCGTCACAGCGCGCCCTCGGACCAGACCCGAGGGACAGAGGCAGGCGGGGACTGGGACCAGTGAGCTGACCGGGGGCAGCCGCACCCCAGCCGGTTACCAGAACGGCCCGTGGGTTTGGGCCCAAGCCCTCAGGCTTGGTCCACCTCTCTGCGCCTTGCTGTGGCCCTCCACCCGGGTCCACCCTGAGGACCATGACACCCCGGGAAACACGGGGCTCCTGATTTACTGGCAGAAAAGCTAAGGCCCGTGTGTGGACAGAAAGCCGGGGCCGTCCACTCATAGAGCTTCAGTGGACGCTCTCAAGCAGAAAGGTGTGCCAGTGTGCAGGGAACGGAGCCCAGTGTTTAGGGAAATAGCTGGATTCCTGGAAAAGTAGGATGGAGGATGGAGTTGTGGCCTGGACACATGAGCAAGGGCCACTGAGCACGTGAGTGCAATTCAACGAAGTCGCCCAGAGGCCTTGCCTTGGGATGCCGGTAACTAGAGCTCTTGACTGCTAACTTTGAAGGGTTGTCTTTTGGTCTGTGGGAGAAACCAGCAGGGTTCTCTGATAAAGAAGTTTTATTTTTAAAGATTTATTTTATTTATTTGAAAGAGCTACAGAGAGGTAGAGGCAGAGAGAGAGACTTCTTGCATCCACTGGTTCACTCCCCAAATGGTCGCAACGGCCAGAGCTAAGCCAAAGCCAGGAGCTGCTTCCGCGTCTCCCAGGTGGGTGCAGGGGCCATCCTCTGCTGCTTTCCCAGGTGCATTAGCAGGGAGCTGGATCGGAAGTGAATTAGCCGGGACGAGAACCGAGGGCCATACGGGATGCCGGCACTGCAGGCCGGGGCTTTAACCTGCTGTGCCACAGCGCTGACCCATAAAGAACTTTTAAAACTGGCTAAAGAGGCTCTCTCAACACTGATGTCAGTCTCCTAGGGGGTTGTTCAGTTTTCCTAGTGACGTTTTAGAAGCTATAAGGCTGTAATATGTGTTGTTTCCATGAACCTGGAACACATATTTCAGTTGTATTTTATAAGGAGACAAGCATTTTGGGTTAATTAGAGGGTCGGGAAGGAACCCTCCCTTGAGCTGAGTTAGGGGTTGCTGCTGGGCTCTGCCTGAGGGGACCCAGTCTCACGTAGGCCTCCCGGGTCTGCATAAGCCCAGGGAACTGCAGCCAGGAGAAGAGGGGTGGGCGCGCCCACCGGCAGCCCAGCCGGCCTCAGCAGCTGGAGGAAGGCTCAGCACAGCACGAGTACGCGCACGTGTGAGACTGCAACGCGGCCGCAGCGCGCTGGGCTTTCTTCCTGGAACACTGTCCCTCCCGCCCCCGCTCGGCTCTGATGTTCACGGAGGCGTCTGGTTCTGACTTTTGTTTACAAAACAAGAGGAGGGAGCATGATCATGGAAACTCTGCTTTTCCAGGGACTCTATTATCTGTTTACTCCTCTTTCAAGGGCGTTTAACCAGGACAACAATGTTGACTTCCTGCTCCCAGTTGCTCTGTTAGCTTCCCAGCATTGCGGGGGAAGCCAGATCAGTTTTCCACGTGTCAGTTTTATCATCTGTATAGAGCAAACTCACAATACGCACGTGATAGGGCTCCTCAGTGAAACCCAGGCGGAGGGAACCATCGCGTTAGCTCCATTCTCTGTTCTTGGTGCTCCTTGGCCTTTTGATCGGACACAACTCCGAAGAAAACTTTGTTTTCTGAACAAACTTAAGTTTTCTTCATTTGCTCCCGGTGGAGTTGAAAGGGGATTTTCCAGTCGCTGGCTGTTTCAGCGTCTCCCCGTCGGCCAGGGCCGGGTCTGTCCTGTTTCGAAGCGTTCGGAATGACCCCAGAGCATAAGTAGTGTATGTTGGGTTGCTCTGTTTGTTTTTTGTTCTCTTTGGTTCCTGCTGACTCCCATCCCTCACACCCCCCGCATCAGTTCAGATCCGGGTTGACTCTGTAACTTGGGGCACAGTTCGCTCTCTCCATGGTATGAACGGGAGCTTGCCAAGAGCCTGGTTGTTCCAGAACATGCTGAACCGTGACCCCCTCCTGTCTGATCTAAACCCCCAACCGCTGGGATTCTGCTGCTGACTCTTTGTTTTGGTTAAGTAAGATATGTGTCCCTTCGGGAGCGGACAGGGGTCGAGGTCAGCGTCTCTTCTTAAGTGGCTATCAGCTTGCACTGTCGCAAGAGGAGGGGGCCCCTTTCATTGGAGCCAGCGAAGCACAGAATCAAAGCAGCAGGAAGCTGCTGGGGGTGGAACGGGTTGTGGGAGGCGGGGCAGACCTCAGACCTCGGGTAAGCCGCAGGGTCACGTGGGAGGGTGTTGCGTGCTTATTGTCAAATTTCACTTACGTCACAAGCTTGCACTGTCCACGAGAGACTCTACAACTCAGGTCTCCTTGCCAAATTCTTTACTTGAAGGAAGAAATAAATTTGACCATTAAATAAGATCTGGATTTGTGTCAAACCGCACCAAAATTCTAGCTGCCTCAAGTTGACTGTTAGGGAATTCAGGTTTCTCCTCCATAAAACGAAGTTAAATTCTACGGTCTGTAAGTCCTTTATTCTTGGCACGTCGTGGGCTCCAAGCGTCGCAGAGCCTCGGTGGACTCTGCATCATGCAGAAGCCCCCGGAGTTCACGTGGACTGATTTTCCTGGTTCGCTTTAGGTTGGGGCCGTTGTCGGGGCACTGCTCCTTCTGCTGGTCGCGGTCGCTGGATTGGTGCTGGCACAGGGGTCTTGGCATTCAGACACCACCCTTCTGACCATCAGTTTCGTCTTCCCTTTCGTCGGCCATGTCGCGGGCTTTCTGCTGGCTCTCCTCACACGCCAGTCTTGGCAAAGGTACAGTGAAATCCGCCAGATCGTTCTTTTGAGGGAGGGAAATGGAACAGACTGCCACTGGCGGGCTTTGCTGCCTGGCGGTGTCAGGAGACTGCAAGAGTTTCCGCTGACACGCACGTGCTGGGCGGGGACCGGACGACACAGCCGAGAGAGAGAGAGAGAGAGAGAGAGAGAGAGAGAGAGAGAGAGAGGAAAGATCACAGCCATTCTTGCAGTAAACTAAAGGAAAGGCCAGCCTGATGGGAAGCTGTCATTTGTGAGATTACGATTGGGTGGTAATTCCGTTTGTTGAGGTACAGTTCTCTTCTGTATACAATTCTCTTATTCCAGGAACTAAATAGGAGGAATAAGGCTGTTTCACTAAATATACGGGTCATTCTAAGGCATGAGCGAGTTTCAAGAGAGCAAGTCTTAGCCAGTTTTTGGTCAGAATTTTAAAATTAGCTAATTATAAGACTCAAGAGAAGGGAGAGAAACTTGAAAAACAAGATAGGAATTTGTCTTAAATGTTGCCATTATAGATTGGGGCATGTAATTTATAAATATTTTGATGTTAGAGATGATAGTGCCCCATGTTGGTAAGCCTGTGATGAGTGTTATACCATCATGGAGGAGCTGAAGAGTGCTAACAACTCCTTGGATGGCAATTTAGTATGGTATTCACAGTCTTATAAATATTTATAGTTGTTAACTCAGTAATTCTACTTTTAAAAGTGTGTTCTGAAGCTAGCAGTATCAGATATGCACACGAATATTGAAATGCTAATGTTAGTTGCAGTGTTATTTATAAATATAAAAACGGAGACAATTTACATACCTAACAATAGGGTAATATTTAATTCATGATGTATCCATGTGATGGATGTCATGCATCAATTTTAATGATTTCAGAAGATACTCAAGAGATAAAGTTAACTTTAAAAATAGAAAATGGCATCTATTTTGATTCCCACTTTGTAAAAGAAAGCAAAACTAAATCTATGAATAAAAAATACTTGAAAAATATGCCAAATGGTAATAGTGTTTGATTTTGAGTAATAAGATTATGGGTAATTTTAATTCTTTAATGTTTTCTTGGCATATTTCCTAAGTTTTTGAGCAAGTAAGTATGTAGTACTGCTTTAAAAATAATAAGAATAAAAGGGATTTTTGGGGCCAGTGTTATGGTACGGCGGGTTAAGCTGCTGCCTGTAACTCTGGATCCCATGTAAGCACTCGTTCGAGTCCTTGCTGCTCCACTTCCCATCCAGCTTCTCGCTAATGTGCCTGGGGAAGCAGCACAAGATGGTCCAAGTACCTGGGCTCTTGCTACCCACGTGGGAGACCTGGATGGAGTTGTAGGCTTCTGGTTTTGGCCTGGCCTAGACCTGGCTGTTAAGGCCATTTGGGGAGTGAACCAGCAAATGGAAGATCTCTCTCTGTCTCCCCCTCTGTGTCACTCTGTCTTTCAAATAAATAAAATAATTTTTTTTAAGCAAGGGATTCTTAAAGAAAAAGAAACTATGTAATTGAATTCCAAGAGTGAGGTTGGGCCATTTTTAATTGGCTTTATGCTATTTGCAATCCACTTAGGGAATAATTTGGATTATAACAAGCACTGGCTAAGGCTCCACCCAGGATATGTGATTTACACCTTTCCATAACCCTCAGAGGGTTCTAGTGAGCAAACCCTTCAGAGAAGCTGTCACTGGCTCAAGTGTAGGGCTAGAAAATGGTGGAGTTGGGATTTAAACCTGGGTTTGTTTCCAAAGTCAATAGCGGGGAACAGATAGACTGTTGTGTGGCTGAAATGGAATGGGATCTGACAGAATGCACTCCTCTGGCAGGTGCCATCATCAATCTTGTCTTTTTCATACCTGATGACTTGACAAAGATCAAAACAATGTACTGCATTTGCCAAGTTCTGTCTTTGTAGCTTAACCATATCGTGTTCTTGACAAGGGTCTGAAGGACGTGGGGGTAGTTTGAGGAAAGTGTAGCAACAACCAGGAAATAAAGCATGAACCACAGAACTCATCCTGTGCCACGGACAACATCTCCACCCCCACATCACACACCCTTGTTACCCCCACATTCCAGTCCAGCTCACACACAGTGCTAGTTCATCTTCTGAAATACGTCTTTCACCTGTTCACTTCCATGTATCTGAACCAACAGACTGCCTTGGTAAGTTGGAGTCAGGTGAATCTGTGTAACCCAGCCCCTAACGTATTTCCCATGGCTGGCCTCTCCTCCCTCTGTTTTCTTCTTCAACTGAGGTTTATTTTGTTTTCTGCAATTGGAAAGCCAATGATGTATAGAAAAGTAGAAAGTAAAAAACTTTAAGAAGAAAAATTAAGTCCTTTTACCAAAGACAATCATGTTAGACGTTTTTTGTTTTTTTTTGTTTGTTTGTTTGTTTTTTTGACAGGCAGAGTAGACAGTGAGAGAGACAGAGAGAAAGGTCTTCCTTTGCCGTTGGTTCATCCTCTAATGGCTGCCGCGCTGCGGCCGGCGCATTGCGCTGATCCAATGGCAGGAGCCAGGTACTTCTGGTCTCCCATGGGGTGCAGGGCCCAAGCACCTGGGCCATCCTCCACTGCACTCCCTGGCCACAGCAGAGAGCTGGCCTGGAAGGGGGGCAACCGGGACAGAATCCGGCACCCTGACCGGGACTAGAACCTGGTGTGCCGGCGCCGCAAGGTGGAGGATTAGCCTAGTGAGCCGCAGTGCCGGATGCCATTTGGTTTTCATTTAGGGTCTTTGTGTGTGTTTGTTTTCAATATTGTTTGGTTTGTGCTGTTTCATAGTTCCAACTCTGTATTCTCATCTCCTCTAATACTACCTCCTTGTGGATTAGTTTACAATAGAAGATAAGTTTATTTTGATGCAAAAGAAATTTTGAAATCATGCATTTTTTTCATAATACATGTTTGAAAAAAGATTTGTCTATTTGAAAGGCAGAGTGACAGAAAGAGAAGGTGGGACAGAGTGAGGAGAGATCTTCCATCCACTGATTCACTTCCTGAATGCCCACAGTGGCTGGGGCTGGGCTAGGCTGAAGAGAAGCCAGGAGCCAGGAACTCCATCTGGGTTTCTCATGTGGGTGGCAGGTCGCAAGTACTTGAGCCATTATCTGCTCCTTCTAGACACATTGGTAGGAGCGGAATTGGAACTGGAGTAGCCAGGACTTGAACCAGGTACTCTGAGCTAAGGCATCCCAAGCTGCGGCTCAGTCTGCTGCATCACACATCTCGCCCCCACAATGCACATTTCCACAGAGCTTTTGAAGATACTCAGTGCCTCCTGAATAGGCCACACTCACACCTGTGCCTGGAACTCTGCTTTCTGTCATTTCTCGCATGTAAGCGACCTCACCACTCTTTGCATCCTGAAACGTCTCTCCCTCCTCCTCTGCGAAGCCTTCTCTAAGTACTTCCGCCACTTTTCTGAATTTCTACTGCAGCTCCCTGACCCCGCTTGTGCTTTTTGTTGTTCCTGAGCCTTTTCTCTGTGTGTGTCTTGTCTTTCCACTCGGATTCCTCTCCCAGGACAGTGTTTGCATGGTCCTACCCCACAGTGCCTCTCAGAAGTTCATCCTAGAAAGGAGGTACTCAGCAAGAAACTATACATGATCCACATTTTCAGTGGCCTGCGCTCATTACATAGGGTTATGACTGCATGTAAAAGAAGGTTAAGAATAGTGCTGTCGCTAGTCTGTAACTCTTGACAACTCTTTCATCGGCAGGTGCAGGACGATTTCCTTGGAAACGGGAGCTCAAAATATTCAGATGTGCATCACCATGCTCCAGCTGTCTTTCACTGCTGAGTACTTGGTCCAGATGTTTAGCTTCCCATTGGCCTATGGACTCTTCCAGCTGTTGGATGGATTTCTCATAGTTGCAGGTAGGTGAACTCCCATTGGGTAGAGTTGACTGGAAATTGGCCAACCCAACTTAATGGCTCCTTGTTCAACCCAACCTTGCATGTGCTTCCTCTGTGACACACTTCTCATCTGACATTTCTGGAGCCAATAAAGCACATAAATGGAATACTTTGACGCGAATGGGAGTTTCACAGGATATGTAACAAACCGGGGCAGCCATTTGGCATGGCGGTTTAGGTGCCTCTTATATTCCCACACCACACAGCAGAGTCTTTGGGTTTGAGTCCTTGCTCTGCTTCTGATTCCAGGTTCCTACTAATGCACACCCTGGGAGGCAGCAGGTGATGGCACAAGTACCTGGGTCCCGGCCACTCACTCACACAGGAGACCTAGATTGAGTTGCAGGCTGTTGGCTTTAGCCTGCTCCCGTCTTGGCTGTCACATCTGGGGAGTGAACCAGCAGATGGACAATCTCTGTCCCTGTCTGCCTTTCAAATAAAATGAAAATAAATAAAAATTCACAAAATGTAGAATCATCTGAAAGCAAGTTTATGATTATAAAGAAGTATGTTTCACAAAACCCAATGCACTACCAGAACTTAGATTCAGAATCTTGTTAAGACAAGGTCTCCATAGGTAGTCATCTTTAAAAATGATATTTACCCAATGTAAGCATTTATTAATTTAGTCTTATTAACACCCTTGAGGTCTTCTGAATACCAAGTTATTTGAGTGTTTCTGTGACCAACACTTGTGCTGAATGACTGTGAAATATTTTTCAAATACCAAATACAATACATATACAAATATTGAAATTCCCTCTCTATATATACACAAATTATATGTATATATTTATTTATCAATATAATGATGCATATATCATATGTAGGTTCACAGAAGGTAAATTAAAAATGTATACATATATACTCCTACCAATGTATACACACACACACACACAAATCCTGGCCATTGTACATTTTTACTGTTGTCAAGGGACAGGCTCTGAATAAGGCTTGGGATCACGGATACAACTGACTCTAGATGGATGATAGTTAATCTGTACTGACTACTAATATACCAATCACTAAAACAATGGCAGGAGTTGTTGGGGTGTAGTTGTCCCTTGCGATAAGGGAAATCCTATCAGAACAAACCTCCTGGTCTTTGATCCAACTTCAAATTCTTTTTCCTGGTGAGACAGACAGGGGAAGCCATTCCTGCTCCATCCCAGGTTGCAGGGGAGTGCCCGCCATGGCAAACTCTCCTACTGACCACGCTGTCAGTGACCGGGGGTTGAGGCTCAATCACAAATGGTCCATTCCGGACAGAAGGAGCCACTCTGAATCACAGATTCATTCAGTTTCTTCCCTTCCTCTTCTTCCTGTGTGTTTATGCATGTATGTTGCAAAGCAAACAAACCCCCAGTGTAAGGAGAAATAAACGTTGCTATCAAGTTACACCCTGGCTAAGAGATTGTCCATCCCTGTGTGTTCCCACCCAGCCTATCAGACCTATAAGAGGAGACTGAAGAACAAGCAGAGGAGGAGGGAGCCGGAGCACGTTGAAGGCTGCCCCAAGCAGAGATCCACGTCTCCCAAAGAGACCAGAGCCTTCTTGGAGGTGAATGAAGAAGCCGCTGGAGCTCCGGGGCCGTCAGGGCCAACGGATGGCCACGTGGCCTCCGGGGAACAGTGTGCACCTGCGGGCCTGGCTGCTCCGCTGTCTCCGGCGGCCAGTAAAGGCGGGGCCGGGCTGAGGCACGAATCTCACTGGTAGGGCCGTGAGCCCCGTCAGTGCGCACGTCTGAGCCTGGTGCGGATCGTGCGTGGCGATGGGATCCCTTGTCAAGGAAGTTCTTTAGGAGGTTCGCACACCCGGCAGCACCGTGCGTCGCGGCGCGAAGCCGGCCTCATGCTGTGGATTTACTTGGAGAACAGGAGTCAGGACTCTGCAGGAGAGGCCGGGCGCGGCGGGTCCTTTGGAGCACCCGGGAGGACGCACAGAGCTTTTAATGCGGAGTGAGGCCCCTCTCGCCAAGGAGTGCTATCTGTAGAGGAATCGGAACCCCTTGATCATAGAGCTGTAATACAAGCTGAGAGGGCATCGGCAGAGCGCCTGAGGTTAAGCAGCCAACGCCTTGCATTTCCACTCGCTGGAGAGTGGCCTGCTCGGGATCAGTTGAAAACCACGGAGGTGTATGAGTGGCGTTTGCAGGCGTCTTGGTGACATGCTGTATAGAGGGCAGCTTTGTGCGTCAGTCTGCACTGATCTACCTCACTCTTTCAGACAGTGGCTGCCCAAAATACTGCACGGGCCGCCGGGGCTGACATTGAAGCAGCCTGTCATCGCGGCGTTCAGACAGCTCGCCCTGCACCAGTGGAAGCGGGCAGCGGCTTCCACAGCTGTACCGGTTGGTGTTGTCCGTGTCTTCCCATGCAGTCCACCAGCCTGGCGGTGGGTAAAAGCCATCTTCCTCTCTTGCGACATCATTAAAGATGTTTTCCTGTAACTTTCCTGGGCTGCATATGCGCGTTCATTCCACTGTTGAATTTATCTTATGCGTCATCAGTGATTATTTAGTATGCATGTAGATGTTTTTTTTTTTTTTTATGATGGTACTATCCAGCTCCCCTGCGGAACCGCCTGTGTTCTCTACGTGAGTGTGAATACCACTTTGTCCCGTAACTGCCTACAGCGTGTGTGTGTGTTGGGACTCCGGTTCCTTCTGGTGTCTATTCTCCTTTTTCAGTTCTGAAGTGCATGAGAAGGCATCCTGAGACTGAGCGCCTTATGACTGTGTCAGTCTTCCCCAGTGACGACGGTGATTGTATTGTCACAGCAACACAAAGCCTGTGTGGCGGTACGGAAGGAACCCTGTTGGAGGCACAGTTTTTTTTTTTTTTTTTGACAGGCAGAGTGGACAGTGAGAAAGAGAGACAGAGAGAAAGGTCTTCCTTTTGCTGTTGGTTCACCCTCCAATGGCCGCCGCAGCCTGCGCACCGCGCTGATCCGATGGCAGGAGCCAGGAGCCAGGTGCTTTTCCTGGTCTCCCATGGGGTGCAGAGCCCAAGCACTTGGGCCATCCTCCACTGCACTCCCTGGCCACAGCAGAGAGCTGGCCTGGAAGAGGGGCAACCGGGACAGAATCCGGCGCCCCGACCGGGACTAGAACTCAGAGCGCCGGTGCCACAAGGCGGAGGATTAGCCTAGTGAGCCGCGGCGCCGGCTACAGTTAGTCTTCATATGGAAAAGAACAACGCAGCTTCGTTCTCAGCGGCTGCTGCCCACTTGGGGCTCCCATTTCCCCACCCGATGTGTATGATGGGTCGAGAAGCTTGTCTGCGCTGTGCATAAGCACCCGGACGCACAGTGGTAACAAGGCAGAAAAGGCTCCTGCCCTCAAGGAGCTGTGGCTAGCTAAAGCTAACTGTACTGAGGCTGGAGGTGGACGTGTGACACGGTTCTTGCTAATAAGAAGGAAACAGAACTCTGCTAGGGACTTCTGGAATTTTTGCTCTCTTGTTCCAGGTGCTGATGGACCCTTTGTCTTGATCAATTCCTTTCTGGGATTCAGATGTAATAGCTGCAGCTGCAGCAACCATTCCCACCCCATGAAGGAGAGGCCAGGATAATTATGGAGTTGTTGACATTGTTGAGCTGCACAGTCAGTCATAGCAACTACCGACTTCTGAACTGGTTTTCTTAAGGGAGAAAATAAACCTCTAGTTTGTGTAACCCTGGGTGGTACTGGTTTTGGTTATTTACAGTCTAACACAATCCTAAACTGAGACATTAAAATTTAGATTGGCTTTAAAATATCATCTAGGACAGCCCATAATTCGTCAGTCTCCATGTTTACAAGGTAAAACTGAAAATTTCTGAGTAACACAACATGAAAACATATTCTTGCACTTTCTGTGCATCTATGCCTGGAAGTTAGCTGGGCAAACTGCTCTTTTACGTCCTTGGACTTGGCATGTTGCATATGGACAACTGGTCATTTGCAAAGCCACGGATTTGGCAGGTCCTCCAGGACCACAGGTGTAAGGAAAGTGATCTTTTCTACCTGCCACTTCTCTCCTATTTCTCATGACAATTCAGGAATGTCTCTCTTAATGACATCCACTGAAGTTTTGATTTTGGAATAAAATCTTTTTTTTTTTTACAGGCAGAGTTAGAGAGAGAGAGAGAGACAGAGAGAAAGGTCTTCCTTCCATTGATTCACCCCCTAAATGGCCACTAGAGCCGGCGTGCTGCGCTGACAGGAAGCCAGGAGCCAGGTGCTTCCTCCTGGTCTCCCATGCAGGTGCAGGGACCCAAGCACTTGGGCCATCCTCCACTGCCTTCCTGGGCCACAGCAGAGAGCTGGACTGGAAGAGGAGCAACTGGGACTAGAACCCGGGGTGCCGGCGCTGCAGGCGGAGGATTAGCCTAGTGAGCCGCGGCGCCGGCCAGAATAAAGTGTTTCTAATCCTGCAATGCACAGAACCATGCTGAGACACCATCCTGTCCGAGTCCGCAGCTTCCATTCCGTTTTATAGACATCTTAGGTCATGATTCGTGCCTCCCCTTCTACAGCACCGAGCTGGCGTAAGGAAGCAGCTGCTCAGTTTCCAGCTTCCTGGTTTCTGGGGCCATCCCTTGGCTGGCTGCTGCTGGCTCATCTGACCTCTCCAAAGATGCCCCCGGCAGGCGCTCCTCCCTGCTCTTTCCCCGCAGGCGGGGGGGGGGGGGGGGGAACCGAGGCGATTCGCTGGACGACCCGGAAGCCGTGTGCCAGCTCTAGGGTTAGCCACAGCTCCTAGACACTGAGGGAAGGAGGGCTGCCCTGCTGGGCGGCTGACCTGCCCAGCACTGGGAGATGAGCTGGAAACTCACAGCGATGACTGCGCTGCTGTGTGGTTCGGGTCTGTATTCCCTGCACGGGGCTAGTGCACTGTGTGTTTAGAGCAAGAGCAAGTTTTCTTCTTTATTCATTCCGCTGCTATGCTCCTGGCTTTCCGACCAGCACGCCCCAGCAGATGGCTCAGCCCTGGGCATGGCGGTGAGCCGGACGCCAGAGGAGGGCGGCAAACACGTTCACTGCACTTTCCCGCTGGGGGTCGTTAAGCCCAAACCTGCATTTTCTGCCCTCGTTTTCCATTTCCTCACTGCTGCTTCCGTAAAAGCAGCCTCCAGCTCTGCTCTCTCCCGCCTGGCAGCTGATCACCTCCAGCTGTACTGGCTCCCAGCACTGGCTGGCCGGCTTTCATGCCCATGACAGGAAAACAAGGCCTCAGGATTCCAGCTCACTCGCAGCAGGACTTTCCAAAAGTCTTTTAAAGCAAACAGAAACTTTGTTTTGTTTTGTTTTTGTTTTGAAATGAAATCGCTGGCTGCAGCCCAAACCACAAAGACTCTTCTGACTGCAGCAGGAATGGTGCTGGTGCAGCCTGTGTTGCAGGATTCAGAGGCGGACTGCAAGCCTGCTACCTGGTGGGCAAGCACAGCACGGGGAAGCCTCACGTTCAGGGAGGCGCGCTCGCCTTCAGATGCGCACGCACATCGCTGGCCGTGGTCAGGCAGCCATTCAAAGCAGCCAGCCGGGAACTGCTGTGGGCTCAGAGTCCGAGCCAGGCAGACGCTTGGGGGTCGGGATGGCATCGCTCACGGCTCAAAGAAATACTGTTAGGGGTAGGATTTGGGGAAACAAGCTCGGAGCTGAGGCTCGGGGACCACCAGGCTGAAGCCAGCTCTTTCAGGCTAATCCTTTTCTTCCGGTTTGGCAGAGCCAGACAGAAACCTCGCAAGTTAGCAGGGTACTGTTTCTTTCTTTCTTTTTCTTTTTTTTTTTTTTTTTAAAGATTTATTTATTTATTTGAAAGTCAGAGTTACACATAGAGAAGGAGAGGCAGAGAGAGAGGTCTTCCATCTGCTGGTTCACTCCCCAATTGGCTGCAATGACTGGAGATGTGCTGATCCGAAGCCAGGAGCCAGGAGCTTCTTCCAGTTCTCCCACGTGGATGCAGGGGCCCAAGGACTTGGGCCATCTTCTGCTGCTTTCCCAGGCCACAGCAGAGAGCTGGATTGGAAGTGGAGCAGCCAGGACTGGAACGGGTGCCCATATGGGGTGCGGGCACTGCAGGCAGTGGCTCTACCCGCTATGCCACAGCGCTAGCCCCGGTACTGTTTTCTTTGATTACCTTTTGGTCAGATGAGTATTCTATCACTTCGACTAGGACTGGAAAATGGAAAATACTCTCTTCTATGTATCGGCTGGGTGCAGAAAGTTGGCACCTCTCACAGGGCGGCGGGAGGAAGGGAGGCAACTCTGGATTTCTCAGCTGCTGTGCCAGTACCTCACCCTCACGTTGGCCTTTTGTGAAGATCTACCAGGAGTTGTGACACCATGCCCGCTCCCTGTGGCCCACATGCCTGCCATCAGCTGCAGAGGTGGGGTTGGGGTCTAGAGGTCCCTGCCCTCCCAGGAGCCTGGGTGCTGTTAAAGAACAACGTACTGTGGGGCCGGCGCTGTGCTGTGGTAGGTTAGGCTTCCCCCTGCGGCACCAACATCCCATATGAGCACCTTTCGTGTCCCGGCTGCTCCACTTCTGATCCAGCTCCCCGCTAATGCATCTGGGAAAGCAGCAGAGGATGGCCCAAGTGCTTGGGCCCCTGCACCTGCATGGGACACCTGAAAGAAGTTCCTGGCTCCTGGTTTTGGATCAGCCCAGCCCTGGCCGTTGCGGCCAAGTGAGAAGTGAACCAGCAGACGGAAGACACCTCTCTCTGTAACTCTGCCTTTCAAATAAATAATCTTTTTTTTTTTTTTAAAGAACACACTTAAAATGTACATAGTTTTGGCTCATTCATGTTTAAGGTGTATTTTTATTTACAAAGTGAGATGATGCATTACAAATAGATGATGCACTTACAAACATATCTCATAATTCCATTTTCATGAAAAAGTATATAAATATATTACAAGAAATTCTATATAGTAAACTTTAAGAAACTGATATAGTAAACACTTGCTACTTTTTTCTATGCCAATATTACTGTCACTTAAAGCTTAAATACTGGTTTCAAGTATCCCCTATAAAATAACTATCAAAATACTGGAAAAATTTTTTTTTTGCTATAAACAACATTGATACATTAAAAATAGACTCAGCGTGTCCTTGTAACAGCGTCCACTATAATCAAATGCTACCTTCCAACATCCCGACAATCCGCACTGTTCAGTTAGTGTTAGAAACCCTTTAATTATCGTAGGTTAAAGTGGCAGCACAGACACAGCATGTCACCGTTACGTGTGATTACGAGGAGACCCCTCTAAGGCAGAGGAGAATCGGCGGTGCTGTCTGGACTTGCTGCTCCGAGATCCTTCGTCAGCAGAGAGCAGGAGTCTGCGGCGGTGAAGGGGAGAGAGGCGCACACGTCCCAAAGGCTGCTCTGTTCGGGTCACTTCGGAGGCTGAGGCTGGGGCTGCTCTTTTTGTTCTTCTTCAGCTTGGAGACGGGTCAGAACATAAAGGATGACTTGATAGCAGAAAATATACTGATCCTATGGCCAGAGGGGGAGAGGGAGGGAAAACCTCAGATGTACAATGCAAATATTCTAGATATACTGCTACACTACTGTGGGCAGTGATTTTTGGGAAATTTTGAAAATACTGTTTGCAATGTTGAATGTAAGCAGTAGTAGTGTAGTGTCATAAAAGTTACAACAATTAGAAAGCAGACTGACAAAATGAGGAGGGAAACGGGGGAGGCACTACCCCACAGTGCTAGCTGACATCTCTGGTGGGTCACTTCTACTTTTTGGGCTTTGATGATATTTAATAGAAAAATAATCTTCCAAAAAAATTCTGCCTAAATTTATGGAGCTCACTTTGATGTTCTGAAATGTCAAAAAATAAATAATAAAGAAGTCATTAAAAAAGGGAAACTATTCAAAATAAGTTTATTTTGGGAAAAAATATGGAAATCAAAGTTTCTTGAAAATGAATTGTTTTGGTGAAATTCTCTATTACGTTGATGGTGCAGGGGATCAAGATTTTTTTAATTGGCAAGAATGAGTCTAAAAATAAGTAGATAGTAGCCAGTGTTGAGGTGCAGCGGGGTTAAGCTACTGCCTACTACACCAACATCCCATATGAGTACTGGTTTGAGTCCTGGCTGCACTGCTTCCAATTCAGCTCTCTGCTAAAGTGCCTGGGAAGAAGAAGATGGCTTAATTATTTGGGCCCCTGCCATCCAAGTGGGAGACCTGGATGGAGTTCTAGGCTCCTGGCTTCCACCTGGCCTAGGTCCAGACATTGCGACCATCTAGGGAGTGAACCAGGGGATGGGGGATCTCTCTGTCTCTCCCTCTCTGTAACTCTGCCTTTGAAACAAATAAATGAATTTCTAAAAATTTAGATATAAAAATTCACAAAATATTAATGGCAAGTAATAAAAGACTAACTACAGTGGAATCTCATTTAAAATACTGCATAAGTATATGTGTGAACATGACCCTGCGTGTGTACATGTGTTTAAGCATGTAAAATACACTCCTAAAAAGACCACCAGTTCTCTGGGAATAGCAGAAGTGGTCTTTTGATGGCCTTTTGGCTCATCTGTACTTGCACCTTCCCTCCCACTCACCCTGGTCTCTGTCTTATAGCACACACAATCCATTAGCAAGTCCCCTCCGTATAGCACCCTCTCTCGCCCTGCTGTTACTTACCAGCCTGGCCTGGCCCGGTCGTGCTTGCCAGCACTGACCCCTCTGTCCCTCCTTCCCAGGTCGCTCTTATTTTAGCACAGCACCCAGATAACACATGAGTCAGATCCTGTCACTCCACGCTGTAATCCTGCAATGGCTCCCACTTCACTCAGGGAAGCCCTGGTCACCTCCCCTCTGCCCACACCTTGTCCTACTGTCTGCCTTCCTTCCTCCACCCCAGCCAGACTGGCAGTGCCCATTCTTGGATATATAAGACCTACTCCCACCTTGGACTTCCATGTGGGCAGACCACACTTTCAAAGTTCTTATATAATTAACTTATTTAACATATTTATGGTCTCCCTTCCTCACCACCACCCTGCTCGAATATCCATGTTATTATTATTTTTTGTTGTTTATTTGACAGGCAGAGTTAGAAAGTGAGAGAGAGAGAGAGAGACAGAGAGAAAGGTCTTCCTTCCATTGGTTCACCCCTCAAATGTCCGCTACGGCCAGAACTACGCCAATCCGAAGCCAGGAACCAGGCGCTTCCTCCTGGTCTCCCATGCGGGTGCAGGGGCCCAAGCACCTGGGCCATCCTCCACTGCCTTCCAGGGCCACAGCAGAGAGCTGGACTGGAAGAGGGGCAGCCGGGACTAGAACCGCACCTCTATGGGATGCCGGCACCGCAGGCGGAGGATTAACCAAGTGAGCCACGCGCCGGCCCCATCCTTGTTATTATTGCAGAGATTTTTGTTTTAGCCACTGATGTGCTCCAAGCACCTACAAGAGTTTCTGGTACACAGAAGGAACTCAACCAATACCTGCTGGATGCACAAATGAATGAATGAACTTCCTGGGTCCAAAGAACAACTTTTTCGGAGAAGCGTGTTTTCCTTACCTAAACACTGTGCCTGCGAATCAGCTTAATATTTGGCAGCCTTAATTTGGATTAAAAAGGTCTATGTGGTGGGTATTTGTCACAGCGGATAAGATGTGCTTGGATGCCTGCATCCCATATTGGAGTGCCTGGGTTCAAGTCCTGACTCGACTCCTGATTCAAATTCCTGCTAACATGCACCCTGGGAAACAGTAGGTGATGGCTCAAGTGGTTGGCTCCCTGCCACTCATGTGGGAGGCCCAGGGTGAGTTTCCAGCCACTGGCTCAGATCCTGGGTGATCTGTGTCTGTCTCTCTTTTGTATAAAATAAGTAAATAATTAAAAAAAAATATGAAGGGAAGTAGACATATTCTAACTTTAAATATATTTAGTAAATTTTGTATATATTTTTAAGAGGTAGAGAAACATGACTTTACGCCTTTCACACCCCACATACAAAGAAGATGGATAGTGGAACTAGTCAGTGAAGACAGACGGACAAAATCCCATTAAGTTGGCATATACCAATGCCATCTTACTAGTTAAAGTGATCAGTTTAAGTTCATAACTGATCATAAAGATAAGATTAAGTGTCAAAGGGATCACATAAATAAGATCAGTGTCTGCTAATAATAATTGATACAATTAAAAAGGAGAGAACAATCCAACATGGGAAGTAGGATACACAGCAGACTCATAGAATGGCAGATGTCCTAAACAGCACTCTGGCCTCACAATCAGCCCTTAAGGCATTCGGATCTGGGTAAAAAGCCCATGAGAGTTTCTCAGGCATGGAAAGCCAAGACACAGTGGCAAAAAATGACCTAAATCAAAGATCTCTGTGAGTGAGATCCCAGTGGAAAGAAGGGGCCATCAAAGAAGGCAGTACCTTTCTCTAAAGGGTGGAAAGAACTTCCACTTTGACTATGGCCTTGTCTAAATAAGGTCGGAGTTTGTGAACCCAAGAGGTTTCCATAACCTTGGCAGCACGTGACAAGAGCCTCAGGTGATTACTGCCGTCATAAATAAGAGTGTCAATTCATTAAGTCAACAACAGGAGTCACTGTGCACTTACTCCCCATGTAGAATCTCTGTCCTTAATGTGTTGTACTATGAGAATTAACGGTAAAACTAGTACTCAAACAGTACTTTATACTTTGTGTTTCTGTGTGGGTGCAAAATGTTGAAATCTTTACTCAGTATAGAGTTGATCTTCTATATATAAAGATAAGTAGAAATGAATCTTCAGCTGCAGCGCGCCAGCTGTGGCGGCCATTGGAGGGTGAACCAATGGCAAAAGGAAGACCTTTCTCTCTGTCTCTCTGTCTCACTATCCACTCTTTCAAAACAACAACAACAACAACAACAACAACAAAAAACATACACACACACACACACACACACACACAAGAAAAATGAGTCTTAATGAAGAATGGGATGGGAGAGGGAGTGGGAGATGGGATGGTTTGCAGGTGGGAGGAGGGTTATGGGGGGAAAAACTGCTATAATCCAAAAGTACTTTCTAAATTTATATTTAGAAAATAAAAGTTTTCTTAAAAAAAAAAAAAAAAACAGACAGACAGTAATAATGAAGCCTCCATGAAGGACACAACTGTAAGTCAGCAGGTGATATAGTGCATGGTTTGATTTTAGGTCAAAAAATGAAAATGACATGGCAGGGGACAAATGGAGGTACCATTCCCTCTCCCGCCGAGGAGAGCCTCTCTCTAGCCTGGGCTTGCCCTGCTGTCTTCCAGCCAGAGCTGATAAAGCCATTCCCCCTTGGAGAACTTCCTGAACAAAAAGTCCTACCTTCTGTCTCTTTTTTAGATTGGAAATGGGGAAGGAAAGCCATACCATTCCCAATCCCTGCCCCCAACATGCTATCTCCCTGTCTCATTCTCTGTAATCTACCATTCTCTGTAATGATATTGCATTTCTTTATTTTTAGATTAAAAGGTAACATTTTTTTTTTTTTTTGACAGGCAGAGTGGACAGTGAGAGAGAGAGACAGAGAGAGAAAGGTCTTCCTTTTGCCGCTGGTTCACCCTCCAATGGCCGCCGCTGCAGCCGGCGCACCGCGCTGATCCTGGCAGGAGCCAGGTGCTTCTCCTGGTCTCCCATGGGGTGCAGGGCCCAAGCACTTGGGCCATCCTCCACTGCACTCCCTGGCCATAGCAGAGAGCTGGCCTGGAAGAGGGGCAACCGGGACAGAATCCGGCGCCCCAACCGGGACTAGAACCCGGTGTGCCGGCGCCGCAAGGTGGAGGATTAGCCTATTGAGCCACGGCGCCGGCCAAAAGGTAACATTTTTAAAAGGCAGTCTAGAAATATTTTAATTTTTTTCTGAATTAGCCTTCATGTTTAAAAATATTTTCTTTACTGCAGTAAATATTTGATTTTATGTTATAATGTAGGAATCCTCAAAACAGACAGATGGTTTAACAGGAACTTTAAAAATGTTAGCATCTTTACAAAAATCCGCATTAGAAGACAGTGAGACTCCTGAGGCTTAATGCTATAACGAGTACTCAAACAGTATATTTCACTTCGTGTTTCTATGGGGGTGCAAACGATTGAAATCTTTACTTAATGTACACTAAACTGATCTTCTGTAAAAAAAAAAAAAAAGAAATTATCAATTCCCAACTTGACTCTCACTGGGATTAAACATGACAATAGGTCTGATCTGATTTCATCATCATTTAAAAAAAATCATCTATTATTTTTCACTTTATGTTTCTGTGTGGGAGCAAACTGTTGAAATCCTTACTTAAGGTATACTAAGCTGATCTTCTGTATATTAAGATAATCGAAAATGAATCTTGATGTGAATGGAAGGGGAGAGGGAGTGGGAAAGGGGAGGGTTGTGGGTGGGAGGGACGGTATGGGGGGGGAAGCCATTGTAACCCATGAGTCGTACTTTGGAAATTTATATTCATTAAATAAAAGATAAAAAAAAAAAAAAAAAAAAAGACAGTGAGACTCACCTCAGTCTGAACCATCCCATGTCTTTGTAGTCTCATGCAGCGCACTACATCAGAGATGTCAAACTGCCGACGGAAGGAGAACATGTTTCAGATAAAACGGGTAACTGGATTTGAGCCCCAAAGGGGTCATAGAGGGGTGGCTTATGTGGGACTCTGCACCCCACTCTTCTTCCCCTTCCAGTTGTCTTGGGAAATCCTCCTGGACAAAATGACTCAGGGCACTGACTGTCATCATTTGGTCATGTTAGGAATGCTCTTTTAAAAAGAATTACAGCAGGTTACTTCATATGAAAATTCACCAGTACAAATTATCGCCCCCCCCCGAAACTGACTCATTGCTAATACACAATAAAAAAGGTAAATTTTTTCCTTACCCATTATTTTCAGGGAACAGATCTTTTGATTTTAGCTGATAGGTAACAGTTTGAAACAAAAGAGAAATGGATTATTTGGTTTAGTCCTATTTAAATTATTGCAGTAGATAAACTACCACATGAAGTGTGCGACAGAACTGTTTGTAACTAAAGTCCTTTAGAAGACAATGATTTTGGGGCTGGTGCTGTGGTGTAGTAGATTAAGCCTCTATCTGCAGTGCCGGCATCCCATATGGGCGTCGGTTCAAGTTCCAGCTGCTCCACTTGCGATCCAGCTCTCTGCTATGGCCTGGGAAAGCAGTGGAAGATGGTTCAAGTCCTTGGGCCCCTGCACCCAAGTGGGAGACCTGGAAGAAGCTTCTGGCTCCTGGCTTCAGATCGGCACAGCTCCAGCCACTGCGGCCATTTGGAGAGTGAACCAGCAGATGGGAGATATCTCTCTCTCTCTCTGCCTTTCCTTCTATGTATAACTTTCAAATAAATAAATACATCTTTAAAAAAGACAATGATTTCAATTATATATCATATACAGTAAAGATACTGTGATGTTTTAAGTAAGTTTTGTAATAATTTAGATTCAAAAGTAAGATTTGCCTTATTTTTTTTATTGAGACTTTGTTTAGATAATAAAAAAACCCAAGTTTCTGTGATATGATTGTTATTTTTAGCCCTTGTTTATATTCTTGTGGAGCTGTGGTCTTCCTACTTTTTACTTGTTGAATATTATGCTTAGTGGTGAATTCAGCCTGTGATTATACAGGGAATTGAAATTATATCTTTGCAAAAATTAAAGAAAAAAGGAAGGAGGGGTTTTCAGGAGGGACAGGGAGAGGGAAGGAAGTATGGTTGTCTTCTTAAAACTGTACTTATGAAATACATGGAATCTGTTCTCTTTGTATTAATAACAATAAAAAAACCCCAAGCTTTGTCATTTCAAAAATGTACTTTTAAAAAATACTCCTGTATTTGTATCTCTAAAGTATGGTAACAAAATTATCTTATATAATCCTAAAGACTGTAAGGATAAAATGCTAACACTACATAAAGGGCTGGTGTTGTGGTACAGTGGATAAAGCCTCTACCTTCGAAACCAGTATCCTGTATGGGTGCCAGCTTGCACCCTAGATACCCCACTTCCCCTCCAACTCCCCACTATTGCAATTGGGAAAGCAGTGGAAGATGGCCCGAGTGCTTGGGCCCTTGTCACTGGCGTGGGAGACCCAGCTGAAGCTCTGGTTTCTGGATTCTGCCTGGCCCAGTCCTAGCTGTTGTGGCCATTTGGGGAAGGAACCAGCAGATTTCACTTTTGTCTCTTTCTCTAACTCTGCCTTTAAAAAAACAAACAAAAATCCCAGAAACAACAACAAAAAATCCAGTAATACAAATAGAGGTGCTATTTTTTTTCATTACACTCTCTGACATTTTGAATAACAATGTTACTAAAATGTAACTCTATTTAATAAGAGAATGAAAGTATTCATGTAGGCTAACAGAAAATATCAAGATCATAATAGTATATAAAAATTAGATTCTGTTTTCTCCCCAATTTATCAGTCTTTTACTTTTTTGTGTGATTTTAAGAAATCTTTTCCTATTTTAAAGTCAGTAAAATATACATTCATATTTTCTACTGAAATTGTTTTTTCAGATTTATTTATTTACTGAAAGTCAGACTTACAGAGAGAGGGAGACATACACACAGAAAGAGAAAGAAGGGGGCCGGCGCTGTGGTGCAGTGGGTTAACGCCCTGGCCTGAAGCACTAGCATCCCATATGGGCCCCGATTCGAGTCCTGGCTGCTCCATGTCTGATCCAGCTCTCTGTTATGGCCTGGGAAAGCAGTAGAAGATGGCCAAGTCCTTGGGCCCTGCACCCACATGGGAGACCTGGAAGAGGCTCCTGGCTCCTGGCTTTGGATTGGCACAGCTCCGGCTGTTGCGGCCATCTGGGGAGTGAACCATCAGATGGAAGACCTCTCTCTCTGCTTCTCCTCTCTCTGTGTAACTCTGACTTTCAAATAAATAAATAAATCTTAAAAAAAAAAAAAAAGAGAGAGAGAAAGAAAGAGAGAGAGAGAGAGAGAAAACGCACGCGAGCGCTTCCATCTGCTGGTTTACTCCCCCAGTGGCTGCAATGGCTGCAGCTGGGCCAGGACAAAGGGTAGGAGCCAGGAGCTGCTTCCAGGTCTCCCACATGGGTGGTAGGGACCCAAGCACTTGGGCCATCTTCCACTGTTTTCCCAGGTGCATTAGCAGGGAGCTGGATGGGAAGTAGAGCAGCTGGGACTCAGGCTGGCACCCTTGTGGGATGCCAGTGTCACAGGTGGTGGCATTACCAACTATGCCACAGTGCTGGCACCTACTGAAATTTTTAGTTTGTTTTTAGCATTTAAGTTTTATTTTTAAAGGATTTTATAAATATAATTAATTAATAAATACAATATAATTTTATTAATTAGATTCTCAGTGTCATAGCAATTGCATGATAATTGCCATGACACAATTCTTACCAATTCTCATGTTAATGTTCTTTCTGATCAAATCTCATTCATCTTATACTCACGTCAAGATCCTGGCTGATTAATCCTAGAATCACATCTATGCAGATCAGGGTTCCTGAGCGTCCGATGCCAGCGCTGCAGTGCGTGATGATTGGGCCTGATCTATGGATGTGTCTCATGTACGAAATGAAAGTGAGCAGGTCGTCGGGCCGAGACGGTGTGTCGTGGTCCGGCCAGGCAGTGAAATTCAGATGAGAAATATGTCGCCTCTCTCCTGTCTGAGATGGTACAACAGAATAAGTAGAGAATGACACGCTATATTGTTCATACATAATTACTTTTTTATTATTCTGGCCTTTCAAATTTTGTCCATGAATCAGAGCAAAGAAAAAACAGAAGAGACTAAAAGACTCTATTAGGAGAAACTGGACGGACTTTCACAAAGAGATTGCTATATCCATAATATTGGTGAAACTGAAACCAAATTACATTTTGATAAAGATAACCTTCTTTGGTGACTCCATGGCAAGTCTACCCCAGATGAAAGCCAGAGTCATTGCAATGGCTTTGAGGTAACAGACCCCCCTAATCTGGATTGTCATCTCTCAGCCCTAACCCCTGCCCCAGCCCTCTGTGTGGTCTTCTAGATACACTGGGCACAGTTCAAGCTCAGGGCCTCTGCACTGGCTCTTTCTGGGGACTGGACTACAGCCCCTGCTCCCACCCTCGTCCAGGGCCCACTCAGTTCCTTCACAGCCAGGCTCTCAGCCTTCTCCCTCTCCCATCTGGCTTTTCCAGCTTTGCTTTTTCCCATAGCACCTCCACACCATCATCTCATTAGCAAGGGAGCTCCAAGAAGCAAGGGCATTCTTTCTGTTTGTGTTGCTAATGGATGAATCCCTAGGGTCATAACGGGACCCGTGCTCTATCAATGTGGACTCAGTGAACAAATCATTTGAGGAATACTGGACAACTGTGCTCACCTAAGTAACAGGTAAGCTTGTGGAAATGAATAAAGAGGTATAATCTGTAATTCTTTATGAAAGCACAAACCGTGGAGGAAATTCTCAGGCTATGTTTACATGACACCAGTAGAACTGAGATGATAGGGAAGCAAAAGCACCGTGTTTCTTTGAGCAGGCTAGACCTCCAGTGGAGACACAGTATTGGCCCCTGGCCAGGATTACTGGGGGAGGAGTGCGGAGGTGAGGAAGCAGCAGCCGCTTCACTTAAGCTGTGGCCACTTCCTTAATTCCAGCTACATTTACTCAGCTGGTAAGGTGGCCGCAGAAGGAGCTCTCTAAATGATAACTGTTTATGCTACAGTTGTCTATATAACTATAAATAGATTGCCTTTTGAGGGAATATTTTTCTACTTAGAGTTTCAAAACCAGTTTTAATCTCTTCAGAGGTTTGACTTCAAGTTTCCAGCATGTAGCTTCTGAGCCATTTTGTGCTATCACTGAGCAGAAGCTAATGAGGGATGGCGTGAAAAGCCCTGTGTACTGGAGGAAAGTGGTGGTCCATGAAGAAGGACACATTTAAAATTATACTAGATACAGAATAGGTGGCATTGGTGCCTCTGCATAAGAACCAGAAAGTCATGGCCTTTTATCGAGAAATACGCTGGCATGGGAGAGGCCAGCCCGGGTTCCAGCTGGGAGATGCGCCTTGTGACTGAATGGGAAGATTAAGTCACTCACCTGAATGTCCTCTAGGGTCATTGCCCGCAGGACAAAGCCCTTCAGCTGCTGCACTCTCACAAGGGCCAGCCGCAGTCTGTCGTCATTGACCATTGTTGTTTTGCCTAGGATATTAGGCCAATAGCGCTGGCATTTGATTTTTTCTCCTTCTACTTCTTGGGTCATCATGGCTATCACTGAGGAGTTTTGTTCCCAAATCATCTGCCAGAAATCTCCAACAGTCGTGGGGAGAGGGCCCTGGCAGGCAATGTAAACAAACTCTTCTTTCCCCACGGGTATCCTAATGAAGCTGGCGTTGATGTATCCACCTTCATCTCCAAGGGGAACTCTTGTGGCATCATCTGTGAATTTCCCACCACAAAACCATCTATAGCGTGTGCTTTAAACAAGAGTCTTACAAGAACAGTGAAACTCCTCAACCGTCGATGAAATCACAAACACACATTTTCATACAACTAGTATTTTCAAACGTTTTGCTCATTTTGTAAGTGCATCTCAAATGCCAGGTGAGTGAGTTTCTGACATGAAATTTGGTGTTTATTATTTAAATAGATTTCAGAAATTAAAATTAGCAAATTAATACATTTAGAAACAAAAAAGAACAACTTTGCTACTTCTTTATCATTATTGTAATGCTGATGACAATATTGTAATGTTGAGTGACAAGCCAAAAAACTTTTTCATAGAATGAAAATTAATAACATTAGTATGATACTATTAGAGTAAATTCTGAAAATAATATTAGCATAATTAATTCTCACTCACCTAATTAAGTTATATTATGTTAAATAGGCAACCAAAAGAAAAAATTAACATAATAAAAAGGCTACTCATTTTACTCTCTAGGCATGTAGGCCCTTATCTTTGTCTAATTCTAATTTCAAGAGTCAAAATGTAAGTTTTTAAACTAAGCTGCCCCAGTGAAAAATACACATTAAATTATCTTTTACTGAGGTTATAACAGTTTATGTAAGACTATAAATTTATATGTATACATTAGAAGTTATTTCCATTTCAAACATATATAAATTTAACTCATAATTCCAAAGATTGTAAAAGTCTTTTTATAACAGGTTTCAAAATCCTCTGTCAATTGCCCCTTTTGACTTGATATCTATCTCATAGTACACCCTGGTTATTTGTTTAATGAAAATGAATCTACTCAGCTTTGGTTTTATGACTTTTCCATTCTGACTCTGGGATACCCATTTGACTTTTTTTTTTTTTTTGCCTTAAATATTTCTCATCTATGTTATGCCAAGCAATGATCTACTCCATTTTTAAAAATAGTTTTTAAAAAAATATTTATTTTATATACTTGGAAGGCAGAGTTAGAGAGAGAGAGAGAGAGAGAGAGAGAGAGAGAGAGAGAGAGAGAAATCCACTGTTTCCTCCCTAAATGGACACAGTGGCTAGAGCTGAACCCATCCAAAGCTAGGAGCCAGGATCTTCTTTTCTAGGTCTCCCACAAGGGTGCAGAAGCCCAAGCACTGGGGCCATCTTCTGCTGTTTTCCCAGGTGCACTAGCAGGGAGCTGCATCAGAAGTGGAGCAGCTGGGACTCGAAACAGCACCCATCTGGAATGCCGGCACTGCAGGTGGAGGCTCAGCCTACTACGCCACAGTACTGGCCTCAATCTACTCCATTTTTAAAAATGTTGTCTAAGATTCACTTGTTATAGGAAGTTGGCCAAAACAAATTTTGCGTCTTTTATCTGGGTTGGAAAAATTCAATTGTATTATTACTTAATATTACATGATTTGTTACTATTGGGTTCATTATTTATCTTTGGTTTATGATTTCCTAGCAAAGATAGGGTCATTGTGTCACATGATGTGATCCAAAGTACTAAACTAATATACATAAATATGTCTGGTGACAACTGGAGGAAGTTGCTAGAGGTTGATATTTTGACTACATAAAATACTTACGTATAATTAAAAAAACAACAGTTGATAGGTGGAATGGGTAAAATGTGTTAAAATCATTTTTTTAAATTAAGATTTATTTATGTATTTGAAGGTCAGAATTACAGAGAGAGAGAGAGAAAAAATCTTCCATTCTCATTCCATTTGGTTCACTCCCCAAATGGCAGCAATGGCTGGAGCTGGGCCGATCTGAAGCCAGGAGCCAGGAGCCAGGAGCCAGGAGCCAGGAGCCAGGAGCCAGGAGCTTCTTTTGGGTCTCCTACTTGGCTGCAGGGGACCAAGCACTTGGGCCATCTTCTACTGCTTTCCCAGGCACATTAGTAAAGAGCTGGATCAGAAGTGGACCAGCAGGGACTTGAACCAGCATCCACATGAGATGTAGTGCTGCAGATGGCTGCTTAACCTGCTGAGCCACAGTTCCAGCCCCCAAATCATTGTTTTAATTTCCTTAATTGGGAGGTGGGGGATATGGTATTTTGCCGCAGAAGGTCAAACTGCTGCCTGTGACACCAGCATCCCATATGAGTGCTGGTTTGAGTCCCAGCTGCTCCACTTCCGATTCAGCTCCCTGTTAATATGCCTGGGAAGGCCCTGGAAGATGACCCAAGTGATTGGGTCTCTCTGTCACCCACATGGGAGACCTGGATAGAGTTCCAGGCTCCTAACTTTGGCCTGCCCCAGTTGTTGTGGCCATTTGAGGAATGAATTAGCATTCATTGATTGAAGATTGATATCTCTCTCTTTTGTCTCTAACTCCACCTTTGAAATAAATAATCCATCTTCGAAATAAATAATAGATCTCAAAGAATTTTCTTTCTATGGGGTTGGCACTGTGGCATAGCAGGTAAAGCCACTGCCTGTAGTGCCGGCATTCCATATGGGCACCGGTTTAAGTCCTGGCTGCTCCACTTCTGATCCAGCTCTCTGCTATGGCTTGGGAAAGCAGAAGATAGCCCAAGTCCTTTGGCTCCTGTACCCACATGAGAGGCCTGGAAGAAGCTCCTGGCTTCGGATTGGCCCAGCTCTGGCCATTTGGGGAGTGAACCAGTAGACGGAAGACTTCTCTTTTTCTTTCTTTCTGCCTCTGCCTTTCAAATAAATGAATAAAATCTTTATAAAAAATTTTCTTTCTGGGGGCTCACATTGTGGTGGTGAGGTGAGTTAAGCCACAAGCCTGCAATACTGGTATCCCATGTGAGTGCTGGTTTGAGTCCTGACTGCTCTACTTCCAACCCAGCTCTCTGTTAGTACAACTTGGAAAGCAGTGTAAGATGGCCCAAGTAATTGGGCCCCTGCCACCCATGTGGGAGACCTGAATGGAATTTCCTTCTAGTGTCTGAAATGATTAAAAGCCTAATGCAGCCTGCTAGTTATCACTGTAGACAGATGTGAATTCCATTAGCTATTAATCCCAGACACAGCTCTAAAAATGAGTGGGGTAAATTGATGGTGGTTATGACACATGAACCCAATATAATGTTTATCCAAAAGCCAATTCAGGCATAAAGACTTTAAAATTACTGATTTGGCATCACTGATTAATTTTTAATATTATGTTAATAAAAATTCAGGAATATCTGAAATATTTGGTTCCTCTCATTTTCAGAGTACATAGAAAATTTAAAAGGGAATTCATGTTGTATATCTACATTTATTTGGTCCTTATGTAGACCTCTTAAGTGTGTATAGACACATGCTTATGTGAGGGACTGTAGGTTAAACTTGCATAAACATCTTAAATCAGTTCAAATTCTGTTAAACACAAACTGAATTTGAGGCCAAATTGGAACTTACACGGAAGTATATTTTTATATCTGTTCTTCCTTCTGTTTTCCTTGGTCTGTCCAATTAGACACTGATCCAAAGGTTTTAATTCTTGAAGGTTCTGTAAGCAATGAATGGAAATAAAATTCAATTTGTTAAGCAGTAATTCAGTAATTGAAATGCTTTAAATGTGTAGCATGCAAAGTTGGCTGTTAGGGCTGACTTTGAGGGTTGGGACATAGATGTGTCTTAAATAAGATTAAATTCAATACTGAACTGATAGACCAGTGTTGAACTATGAGGAGTATTTAAAAAGTTCATGGAAAATGCATATTATGGTAAAAAATTTTTGCACCAAAATAAACCACCTTTTATTTCCATTTTTCATGAACTTTTTGAAGTACTTTTTGTTACAAATACCTTTAACTGAACATACTGCAGTCAACTACTTTATGAGATAGCATGTTGTATCTTAATTTAAAATTCAGTTAAAAGGTACAACTCATGAAAATACCCTTGGCTTAAAGTAAGAAGACAGAGCACAATTTCTTTATAGTGTTGGAATATTCCAGGTGGTCATGTTATAATCATATTCCTGTGTTCTAAAGTCAACTCTTTCTAATCTTTGGTTCAATCACTCCTTCAAAAATATTTATCAAACGCCTATTGTATGCAAGGCACTGTTATAAGTGCTAGGAACACAGTGGTGGGCAGGTACAGAAGATTCTGGCTCCCATGGAGCTTAGAGCCTCTTGGGACAAAGGGGCAGCAATAAAGTAAACAGATATTGTAATACATGTATTAAAGACATCAATAAGCTGCCGTGACAGAGAACAAAGAAGATACGCTCCATCAGGGTTGTGATGGCAGTTCTCTGATGGTGACATTTAAACCTAAAACCTTAATGAAGAAATAGTTCTATAAAAATGCAGATCTAGGGAAAGGAAGACTATACTTCAATTATTATTTCAGTTTCCAAATCTACACAATATAATTAATATTTTGAGAAATATTTACAAAGCAGTAAGAGCAGAACAATATTGCCCAATAACAGTAACTCCTTTTCATGGCAACAAAGCCCAGCAAACAGGCAAATAAGCAGATGGTCTGAGCCAGAAGGGCAAGGTCAACCCCAAAAGCATAGTGGTGCTGCATTTCTCATTTGCTTGGTGATAAAAGTGGATGTTGTCACAAGACCATGGGGGCAGCCGTTGCTGAACTACAGCACACATTCTCAGAGCCACATAAAATTGGAAACTGCTGCTAATGATGAACTGCAGCTACAGTGTAATAATTCTTAAGTTTAGTGGGTGGTTGACATTGATAGTTGCCTCTTCAGAACCTTTTTATCCTTACACAGGAAGCAGGGAGGATAATCTTCAGGGAAATTTGTCAAGTTCCAAGTAGTTACTGCAAACCCTTTAAATCAATATTACTAAAATTCTAATTAGAAAAATTTAATAGTAGGTATAAGATGGTGTTTTAGAGTTGGAAGTAAATAAACTCCAGATAGAATGGGTAAATCACAATTTTCAAAATTTCTCCTGACCTTGGGCTGATAGGGGCTCATTTTTCTTTACTACCAAACACATACACTTGGGGAAAGAACCATTGGCAGATGCCACTTACCTCCAGCTCCTTCGAAGGAATTCCTTGGTCCAGCAAACCCCGCAACATGCGAATGACTGATTTTAACTTGGTGCCAGTGTATTTACCTGAAGGATGCACTCTGACCACAGGAAGTGCAGTGAGTTCCTCAGCTGTCAGAAAGGGATGACCTAACAAGAAGACAGCACTGAGCATTAGAAAAACACGTTCTCAGAACTTATTTAACCCCACAAGTGAATTAATTTGGGAGTATTCTCACAAAGGGGGTAATCTACTATCATAAAAAGGGGGAATCTTTAAATATGAGAGAATTAATAAAGCAAAAAAATGAATAAACTGATAACTACAATCAACACAGGGGAGGTTAAAAAAAGTTATTTTTGTCTATTTGGAAGGCAGAGAGACAGAGAGAGACAAAGACAGAAAGAGAGAACTCTCCTATCTGGTCTTTCACTCCCCAAATGCCTGCCAACAGCCAGGGATGGGTCAGGCCCAAGCTAGAAGCCAGGTGCTTAATCCAGGTCTCCCACATGGGTGACTGGGACCCAAGTGCTTGAACCATCACCTGCTGCCTCCAAGGGCTCACATTATCAGGAAACTAGAATCACAGGTGGAGCCAGGACTCGAACCCAGACACTAGGTTATGGGAATTGAAGTGTTATCATGTAGCGTCTTAACTGCTACTTAACTTGCCAAAGGTCTGCCCCAGAAATTTTTACCACAGTACATTTCATGTACCCAACTTTTAAGAATATATCTCAGTGACTGCTCAGAAGTTCTTTTCTTTTTCTTTTTCCCATTTATTTGGAAGTCTGAGGGATAGAGAGATTCCATGCACTGGTTCAATACCCCAACAGCTGGGGCTGAGTTAGGCTGAAGTGAGGAGTCTGGTACTCAATCCAGGTCTCCCATGTGGGTGGCAGGGACTCAAGTACTTGAACCATCACTGCTGCCTCCCAGGTGTGCATTAGTGGGAAGCCAGAGTCAAAAGTGGAGCAGAAAGCTGAAGCCAGGCACTCAGTGTAAGTTGAACTGCTGTGCCAAATGCCTGTTGCTGCCCAGAAGTTCTTAAGGCCCTTGACTTTCACATACTTCTAAAGGAGTTTACATTGTTCCTTATTGCTTGACTCAAATGGTACTGTTTTCATGAGGAAAACGTATCTAGTTCTGTTATTAATTTGCATTTATATCAGCTTCTAAGTACAACAGAGAAGACGACACTTCTGAAATTCCTCAACAGGAGATTGCTCTCGGAGCACTGATTTCTCTCCTTGCACCCTTGGCATTCGGTTCTGGTGTCTCTGGCACTTGATAATTTTCTCCAAGCAAATGAAGAATTCCCTTGGTTCTTCATGAGTTGAGTCAAATACCTTTGAAGAGCTATGGGTTAATTTAGTACCTACTCTATGGACATTATTTAAAATAGAAGGCAATTGCTATCTTAGAAAAAAGTTGGAGCCGGCACCACGGCTCAATAGGCTAATCCTCTGCCTTGTGGCACTAGTCCCGGTCGGGGCTCCGGATTCTGTCCCAGTTGCCCTTTTTCCAGGCCAGCTCTCTGCTGTGGCCCGGGAAGGCAGTGGAGGATGGCCCAAATGCTTGGGCTCTGCACCCCATGGGAGACCAGGAGAAGCACCTGGCTCCTGCCTTCGGATCAGCGCAGTGCGCTGGCCACAGCGTGCCGGCTGCGGCGGCCATTGGAGGGTGAACCAACAGCAAAGGAAGACCTTTCTCTCTGTCTCTCTCTCTCACTGTCCACTCTGTCTGTCAAAAAAATAAATACGTAAATAAAATAAAAAAATAAAATAAATAAAAAAAGAAAAAAGTAGGAAAGACATAGTACCATACCCTGCACCAGTGTAGGTGTAATTATGTCAACTGGTTGACTAAGGCATTTTCATGATGCAACTACTATATAGATAATAAAATGCTAGGCACTGTGGGAGCTACAAAGTTGTACAAGATACCCCAAGAAGCTTCACATCTGTCATCGTGAAGGCTAGCTGGGAATACAAAATTCATTCATGAAGTAACTACATGTTTACATAACTGAGTGAGAATGCAACAGAAGCTCAAAGGGTGGACAGATGAGGATGGGTTACAGAAGCCAACAAGAGCATTGTGCACATACCTATAGTAGACCTAAGTGAAAAAGTGACAAGTTCTATTTTATTAGTTTTTTTTTTTTTATAAAACTAGGACTTCAAATGACAAGACCACATTCTTTCAATATAACAATGCCTTATATGAAACAAGATAAATGAAACATTGAATATAATTTCCTTTTTTCACTGGCTCAGTTATAAAATAAAAACATACTCATAATAGTGAGGACAGACCAATGGATTCTTGCTTTTAGAAGATGAAGCTGAGATCCAATGGTAATAATAGTTCCATATCTTCTAGCTAGTTCACTTATTTTACAACAAATAAAAAGTGTTCCTTGACTTCTCATTCCACTGTAACTCTATTTTTTCATTTAAAGTTCTTACATACTTATTTGTTCGTGTTACTAAAATCCACTAAGAATTTTAGACTACAACTGGGCAAATAATCTGGTTATATAAATGAATATTGGTGTCTGTCTGTAGGATTTAACTTTATGCATAAAACCAAATAATGTAGACATGGTGAAATAACATACCCATATATTCTGAAAAATTTCATTTTAAACAGTTATTTTTCCTGTTCATTGCTTTTGAGGAAAAAATTGCTAATAAAACTCTTGCCTTTATCAGAATCATCACAGCTTGTTGTCTCTGCTGGCAATTCAACACTTTCCCATGTGATGTCATCATCATCGGTCTTTGTTTCTTGTGACTCCTGAATTAAGCTACAACAAAACACATTGGTAATACCATCTTCATGTTTGTCTCCCAAACAAATTCAAATATTATGGCACCAAACCATTTGTTTTCATACAATTATCAATGCATTTTAAAATAGATTATCTGATTAAAAAAAAAAAAACACAAGCACACAATCCTTAAAACCTACTAGTAGATATAAATCAGAGTTGCAGAACAAACAGTTTAATACAGTTGTTGTTTTTTTTTTTTTTTTTTGGGACAGGCAGAGTAGACAGCAAGAGAGAGACAGACAGAGAGAAAGGTCTTCCTTTTCCATTGGTTCACTCCCTAAATGGCCGCCACAGCCGGTGCGCTGAGGCTGGCGTGCTTTGCCAATCCAAAGCCAGGAGCCAGTGCTTCCTCCTGGTCTCCCATGTGGGTGTAGGGCCCAAGCACTTGGGCCATCCTCCACTGCCTTCCCGGGCCACAGCAGAGAGCTGGACTGGAAGAGGAGCAACCGGGACAGAATCCGGCGCCCCAACCAGGACTAGAACCTGGGGTGCCGGCACCGCAGGCAATTTAATACAATTTATCCTCAAACAGACTCTAAGTCTTTGAACCTTAGGCTACAGCAGGGGATAGAGAAAGAGGCAGTTTCATTTCTATCCTTTAACACGGATGGGTGATTACAATTGTGTTGGGATGCATCTCTCGCTTTTCATCAACTAGTGCATTTTATGAATCTATCGCAATTTATTTGAAGAAGTCCCCTTTGATGGACACAGTCTTGCTAGTTTTGGAAGTGAGGACACTCTGTATCTATGTCTCAATGTAATGAAATGAATAATTCTCACTATTCCCTGGTAAATTAGATGGCTGGCCTCAAAAAAGAAATCAGGTAGGAGAACAGTGTTTAGTGCTGCAGCGAGATGAAAAAAGGTTATATAAAAGATTGAACACATTTTCCTTTTTTGATATCCAGGGGAACAATGCAGAGTTCATTGGTCTGACAACACTAGTGTACAGAATTAAAGTAGGATGGACTAGTACTCTCCCAATGTCAACCACAGGGCAACAATTATGCTGTGTTTATGATAGATATGTTCCTCTACTTCAATTCATTGTGGTTCACAATAACATTTAATTTGCAAGCTCTGTTGCACTCAGGAGGTTGATTTTTGTCTTTTAGTACAAACTGGTTCTTTGTAGGAATATATTTTAGAGATTCTTCCATCAGACATTCTCTTCCTTATCATTCTTTTGAACAGCTGCTTAAGACTCTAATTTATTATCTCGGTTATAGTGTTTTGCTACTATATAAATGTTGCAACTGCTTACAGAAAGTAATATCAAAAAATATTCTCATGTAGAAATGCCTTTGCACATCTATGGGAGCAAGACTCTTAGAAGTAAACTTGTAGGGGCAGCGCTGTGGTGTAGTGGGTAGGCCGCCACCTGCAGTGCCAGCATCCCATATGGGCACTGGTTCAAAGTACTGGCTGCTCCACTTCCAATCCAGCTCTCTGCTATGGCCTGGGAAAGCAGTAGAAGATGGCCCAAGTCCTTGGGCCCCTGCACCCATGTGGGAGACCTGGAAGAAGCTCCTGGCTCCTGGCTTTGGATTGGCGCAGCTCTGGATGTTGCGGCCATCTAGGGAGTGAACCAGTGGATGGAAGACCTCTCTCTCTCTCTGCCTCTGCCTCTCAAATAAATAAATAAATCTTTAAAAAAAGAAATAAACTTACTGCGTTGAAGATATGTACTACATTTCTTTGAATCTAGGACATTCATGAAGTAAAATGCACTATTATTTTGTTTACATTAAGAAACACTTTTGATGACTATAATTCTAAGACCCTCCTGATTTTTTTCTTCATGATTTTAGAGATGTTAAAACAAAACCAAAACCACTGCAACCAACAATTAGTGATATGCAAAAATTTATATATATATATATATATATATATATATATTTAAAGGTTTATTTATTTGAAAGGTGGAGTTGAAGAGAGGCAGTGGCAGACAGAATGAGAGGTCTTCCATCTGTTGGTTCATTCCCCAGGTGGCTGCAATGGCCGGAGCTGCGCCGATCCGAAGCCAGCAGCTTCTTTTGGTTCTCCCACACAGGTGCAGGGGCCCAAGAACTTGGGCCATCTTCTACTGCTTTCCCATGTCATAGCAGAGAACTGGATTGGAAGCCGAGCAGCCAGGACTTAAACCAGTGCCTATATGGGATGCCGGCACTGCAAGTGGCGCCTTTACTGGCTAAGCCACAGCACTGGACCCAAATGTATGTATTTATACATTAATAATATGTAGTCTTTCTCTAATTTAGTCAATAGTTCATATCAACTTGCCTTTCTAGGAAAAAGCAAATAGCTATTTTTGATTATCTGATTATCATGTAATATGTGTATGTATTATATATAATATATACATGATTTACAAGCAAAATTTCTGTACAATCACTTTTTTTGGCCAACCATGTATGAAACCTTTCCTTGATATGCTGTGCCTCCCTCCCAAATCAAAATCACTTTATAATGGAAACTGTTTTCAAAAAACTTTTTTTGTTGTGTTTACCTTTCACTTCTTACTTTTTCTTCACAATATTCTTCATAGCCATTAATTTTGCTAGGCTATAATAAAGAGAAATCAAAATAAATTAGCTCATTGTAACAGACATCAAATAATCTAATAATGTTTATTCTTTCTATGAATTATCTTTTATATTCACTTTCAGTGTTCACTTTCATATTAAAACGACACATATGACATTGAATTAATATACTCGAAGCAGTGGCTGAGGCATCTTTAGTGGCCTGAGAATTTAGGATTTAGAAATTCAGACAAAAATCTGAATTAACACTTAATTTAGTTACATGCACATTTGGCATATCTTTTAATACCCTTTCAGTTTTAAAACCTGAAAATGCTCTCAAGAATTTTTTAAAAAAAGATTTATTTATCTATTTGAATGGCAGAGTTAGAGAGAGAGGGAGAAGGAGAGACGGACAGCCACTGTTTCACTTCCCAAATGGCTGCAACAGCCAGGACTGGGCCAGGTTCAAGTCAGGAGCCTGGAACTCCATCCATGTCTCCCACATTAGTAGTAGGGGCCTAAGCACTTGGGTCATCTTCTGCTGCTTTCCCAGGTACATCAGCAGGGAGCTGGATTGGGAGTGCAGCAGCTGGAACTCAAACTGGCATATGGTGGTATCAGTGTTGGAGGTGGTGACTTAACCCACTGCACCACAGTACTGGCCCATTCAAGAACATCTTAATAGTTAATGTGTTGGCTGGCACTGTGGCTCACTAGGCTAATCCTCCACCTGTGGCGCCGGCACCCTGGGTTCTAGTCCTGGTTGGGGCGCCAGATTCTGTCCCGGTTGCCCCTCTTCCAGTCCAGCTCTCTGCTGTGGCCCAGGAGGGCAGTGGAGGATGGCCCAGGTCCTCGGGCACTACACCTGCATGGGAGACCAGGGAGGAAGCACCTGGTTCCTGGCTTCGGATTGGCACAGCGCGCTGGCTGCAACACGCTGGCCATAGGGGCCACTTGGGGGGTGAACCAATGGAAAAGGAAGACCTTTCTCTCTGTCTGTCTCTCACTGTCTAACTCTGCCTATCAAAAAAAAATAGTTAATGTGTTAAATGTATTGCCCTTTTATATTATCAGAGATCAATCAGCTTGTATTTTAACTGGACATGGAGTTTCAGAAATCAGAATATTACAGAAGGAGCAGTTTGCTACAATTAGATGTCAAACTGAATTTTTTTTAAAGAAAGATTTATTGATTTGAAAGGCAAACTTACAGAGAGGAAGGAAGAGAGGAAGAGAGGGAGAGAGCGGGAGGAGAGAGAGAGAGAAGGAGATCGCTTTTATCTGATGGTTCATTCCCCAAAAGACCACAAGAGCCAGGGTTGGGCCAAGCTGAAGCCAGGAGCCAGGAGCCAGGAGCCAGGAGCCAGGAGCTTCACCTGGGTCTCCCACATGCATGGCAGGGGCCCAGGCACTTGGGCCATCTTCTGTTGCTTTCCCAGGTATGGAAGCAGAGAGCTGGATCAGAAGTGGAGCAGCGAAGAATCACACTGACATCCATATGGGATGTAGAGTTAAAAAGCATCTGCAGTGACATTATCCTAATAACAATTTCAATTTATTTATAGAGGAAAAATAACTATGGTGGAAGAAAAAATAGACTCTTTGATCCATTGACAACTAAAAGGAAGCTCTTACAGAGCTGTTTGGGAAGATGCTAATTTTTTCTTAAAGATTCTATCTATCTATCTATCTATCTATCTATCTATCTATCTATCAGGCAGAGTTACAGAGAGGCAGAGGCAGAGAGACAGAGAGATGGGTTCCATCCTCTGTTTACTCCCCAGATGGCTGGAGCTGGGCTGATCTGAAGCCAGGAGCCAGGAGCTTCTTCCAGGTCCCACATGGGAGCAGGGGTTCAAGGACTTGGGCCATCTTCTACTGCTTTCCCAGGCCATACCAGAGAGCTGGATCGGAAGTGGAGCAGCTGGGTCTCGAACTATGCCACAGTGCCAGCCCCAAGAAGCTGCTAATTTTAGTGACTGTGGGAAGATTTTTTTCTTTCCTAAGGGAACAGATTTCATGTATTTCATAGATACAATTATTTTTATTTGAAAAATTAAAAAAAAAAAAAAAAAGAGAAAGGGAGAGACAGAGATCTTCCATCCACTGGTTCACTCCCTAGTGGCCACAACAGCTGAAGCCAGGAGCCAGGAACTTCTTCCAAGTCTCCCACCTGGGTAGTACATGTGCTGCTTTTCCCAGACCATTAGCAAGGAGCTGGATTGGAAATGGAGCAGCCGGCACACAAACTGGTGCTAAATGGGATGTTGGCATTGCAGGAGGCAGCTTTACGCACAACACCACAACGCCTGCCCCTACAGATACAATTTTTTTTTTTAAGAAAGCTTTTATTTAATAAATATAAATTTCATAGGTCAGCTTTTTGGAATATAGTGGTTCTTCACCCCATAACAGCCCTCCCACTCCTGTCCCACCTCCTACTCCCTCTCCCTCTCCCATCCCATTCTTTATTAAGATTCATTTTTAATTATCTTTAATATACAGAAGATCAACTCCATACTAAGTAAAGATTCCAACAGTTTGCACCCACACAAACACACGAAGTATGAAGTACTCCTATAGGTACAATTTTTTTTTTTTTTTTGCCAGGCAGAGTTAGACTATGAGAGAGAAAGCTTCCCTCTGTTGGTTCACCCCCCAAATGGCCACTACGGCCGGAGCTGCGCTGATCCGAAGCCAGGAGCCAGGTGCTCCCTCCTGGTCTCCCATGCACGTGCAGGGCCCAAGCACTTGAACCATCCTCCACTGCCCTCCCGGGCCACAGCAGAGAGCTGGCCTGGAAGAGGAGCAACGGGGACAGAATCTGGCGCCCCAATCGAGACCAAAACCCGGGGTGCTGGTGCCGCAGGCGGAGGATTAGCCAAGTGAGCCATGGTGCCGGCCAACAATTCTAAGATAACCATACTTCCCTTATTCCCTCCCTCAGTTCCCTTCCCCTTCTTCCTTCTTCCTCCCCTTCCTCCTGTCTTCCTTTAATTTTTGCAGTAACATATTTTCAATTTACTGTATAATCAATCACAGGCTCAATGCACCACTAACCATAATGTTCAACAAGTCAAAACTAGAAAGGCCACTGTTCCACAGGAATACAGACGAGGGCTATAGACAGGAATCAAATCATACTTATTACTGAATGTAGTCCTGATCTCTGAATTTACTATGTGCTCTAAGATTTTGAAAAGCCCAAAGCCTTTTGTACAAGTCCAGTGCTGTTATGAAAATGGGGAGCCTAACTAGAAATAAGCTATAGTGATATTTACTTTAATCAATTCCCACTGTTTTTGTGAGGACACTTGTGTGCAGGAGAGGGTTATGCTAAAGGAATGAATTTCAGTCTCTTCTCATTCTGGATTGTAGGCTCTTTGGAAGAGGAGGAAGCTGTGATACTGCCTCAAGGAAAAGATTCAGGATTTATATTGTAGGCAGTCCGTTTCATGGTAAATTTATTTATTTTTAAAGATTTGTTTATTTGAAGGGCAGAGTTACAGAGCGACAGAGGGAGAGGGAGAGGGAGAGGGAGAGGGAGAGGGAGAGGGAGAGGGAGAGGGAGAGGGAGAGGGAAATGTAGAGGTAAAGGGAGAGGGAGAGGGAGAGGGAGTGGGAGAGAGGGAGAGAGGGAGGGGGGAGAGGGAGAGGGAGAGGGAGAGGGAGAGGGAGAGGGAGGTCTTCCATCTGCTGGTCCACTCCCCAAATGGTCACAATGGCCACAGCTGATCCGAAGCCAGGAGCCAGGATCTCCCTCCGGTTCTCCCAAGCAAGAACAGGGGCCCAAGGACCTGGGCCATCCTCTGCTGCTTTCCCAGGCCACAGCAGAGAGCTGGATCAGAAGTGGAGCATCTGGGACTCAAACGGAACCAGCACCCACTTGGGACGCTGGCACTGCAGGGGGCGACCCCACCCGCAACGCCACAGTACCGGTCTCTGAAGGTAAATTTATAATACTACTGTTCAAAGAGTCTTATCCAGTAATCTAACAGCAAAGGAGATATCTTCTGGATTTAGGACCAACTACATAATTTTTAGGGTCCAGTGCCAAATGAAAATATGGGATCTCTTGTTAAAAACCCAAGCACTTCGGGGCTGGCGTGTGGCACAGCAAGTTAGGCCTCTGCCTGAGGCACTGGCATCCCATATGGGCACGGGTTTGAGTCTTGGCTGTTCCACTTCTGATCCAGCTCCCTACCAACGTGCCTGGGAAAATAGCAGAAGGTGGCCCCAATGCTTGGGCCCCTGCAACCCCGTGGGAGACCCAGAAGAAGCTCCCGGCTCCTGGCTTCAGCCTGGACAAGCCGTGGCTGTTGTGGCCACTTAGGGGAATGAACCAGTGGATGGAAGATATCTCTCTCTCTCTGTAACTCTTTCAAATAAATAAATACATAAATCTTAAAAAAAAAAAAATCCCAAAACCCCAAACCCAAAAAACCCAAGCCATTCAAGATGGTGACTGGATGAGTAGAAACCAAAATTTTAAAAGCTATCTCAGATGAATATGGAAATAAGTTACAAAAAGGAATGTGTATATATATATATATTATTATTATTATTTTTGACAGGCAGAGTAGACAGTGAGAGAGAGAGACAGAGAGAAAGGTCTTCCTTTGCCGTTGGTTCACCCTCCAATAGCCGCCGTGGCCAGTGTGCTGCGGCCGGCGCACCGCGCTGATCTGAAGGCAGGAGCCAGGTGCTTCTCCTGGTCTCCCATGGGGTGCAGGGCCCAAGCACTTGGGCCATCCGGGACAGAATCCGGCGCCCCAACCGGGACTAGAACCTGGTGTGCCAGCGCCGCAAGGCGGAGGATTAGCCTATTGAGCCGCAGCGCCGGCCAGGATTCTATCTGAAATTTTTTAAAAAATGAGGATATATTTTTATAATCAAAATAAAAAAGGTAACAAAGTTATCTTTCATAAATTGTTACTAGAGCACAGTATAAATGAGTCTATATATTAATTTCCTTCAGGAAGTTTGTTTCAGTATTTTATTTATTTGAAAGTCAAGGGGTGGAGGTCAGGGGGAGAGAGAGATCTTCCATCCACTGGTTCACTCCCCACATGCCCACAACAGCCAGGGATGGGCCAGGCCAAAGCCAGGAACTAAGAACTCAATCTGAGCCTCCCCACGTAGGTAGCAGGGACCCAAGTACTTGAGTCATCACTGTTACCTCCAGACACACATCAGCAAGAAGCTGTCATCAGGAACAGAGCTGGTACTCAGTATGGAAAGTGGTGTCCTGTTTTGCAAAATGCCCATCTCTAGAACGTACAGTTTAAAAGGAGCATTTTAAATATTCTTAATGGAAATATAATTAAACTCATTATGGCTTAGGATATTCAGAAATCCTTTTTCAAAGAGCCTATTATAATTATTAATGTTTTGATAGTGTGAAAGACTGTCTTATGTAAAACTAGGGAATGCTGTTTTAAGTTTTAAGTGTTTTAAGAAATCTAATATTTGTATAATAATTTTTGTAGATTAAAAGTATCTACTTGGGCTGCTGTTGTGGTGCAGTGGGTTAAGTCACAGCCTGTGGTGGCAGCATCCCACGTGAACGGTAGCTGGAGTCCTGGCTGCTATATTTCCAATCCAACTCCCTGCTAATGTGCTTGGGAAAGCAGCAGCAGATGTCCCAAGTGCTTGGGTACCTGCTGCCCAGGTGGGAGACTCAGATGGTGTTCCAGGCTCCTGGTTTTGGCCTGGCCCAGCGGGGGCCATTGTGGCCATTTGGGAGTAGATGGAAGATTTGTCTTTCCTTCTCTCTCTATAACTCTGCTCATCAAATACATAAGTAAACCTTAAAAAAAGTACATACTCAATAACCATAAAATACCTTGTATATTCACACAGTAAATATTCATAAACTTTTAATGAACACAACTACATGTGTATGAGATTGCATTTGCATGCATAGTGAATACTGCTAAGAATTCAAACCAGCATAATTTTGACAGTTTTGAAGATATGAAGCAGGAAGACTACTTAAGTAGGCTACTGAAGGAAATTATTCTAGAATACTGAGATGTGAAAAATAGGATAATGCTGAGTTTGAGGAACCTTAAATACAACTTATCCACTATTCATACTTTTTCTTAGCTTGTTGTCCCAGAATATCCAAAGTTTTCAGATTTTAAATAGGGATTTGAAAAGTTAACCACTACATTTTTGAAAATGAATTGCGTGTTGATCCCTGTTAAAAATAAGAGTGGGAATAAGAGAGGGAGGAGATGTATAGTTCAGCACACGTTCCCTTGGACTTACCCCGAAGGGTAAAGCTAAAAACTTGCCATGGGACTCCAAATCCCATTAAGTTGGCAGGTACCAATGCCATCTTACTAGGTAAAGTGATCATTTTAAGTCCATAACTGATCATAAAGATAGGATTAAGTGTCAAAGAGAACACATAAATAAGATCAAGTGTCTGCTAATAATTGGTAGAATTAAAAAAGAGAGAATGATCCAACATGGGAAGCAGGACACACAGCAGACTCAACCAACAATAGGAGTCACTGTGCACTTGCCCTTAATGTGTTGTACTATGAGAATTAACAGTAAAACTAGTCTTGTGTGTCTGTGTGGGTACAAACTGTTGAAATCTTTACTTAGTATAGAGTTGATTTTCTGTATATAAAGATAATTAAAATGGATCTTAATGAAGAATGGGATGGGAGAGGAATAGCAGGTGGGATGGTTTAGGGGTGGGAGGGTGCGTATGGGGGGAAGAAATGCTATAATCCAAAAGCTGTACTTACAAATTTATATTTATTAAATAAAAGCTTTCTGTTAAAAAAAATGAATCATGGGGCCAGTGCTGTGGCACAATGGGTTAAAGCCCTGGCCTGCGGTGCTGGTACCCTGTATGGGCACCAGTTCAAGTTCCACTGCTCCACTTCCGATGCAGCTTTCTGCTATGGCCTAAGAAAGCAGTAGAAGATGGCCCAAGTCCTTGGGCCCCTGCACCTATATGGGAGATCCTGAAAAAACTCCTGGCTCTTGGCATCAGATCGGCACAGCTCAGGCTGTTACGGCCATTTGGAGAGTGAACCAGTAGATGGAAGACCTCTTTCTCTCTCTCTCTTTCTGGCTCTACCTTTCTATGTAATTCTGTCTTTCAAATAAATAAAAGAAATCTTTATTAAAAAATGAACTTCTTTAATTTTTAAAAATGTGAGCAAACTTGAATAATGATGCTTTCAACTGGAAGAGAATGGTACTTTAATACAAGTAAAATTCACCTCCATTTATCCACCTAAAGGTCATCTTACAGTAAAACAAGCAACCATTTCAGATTATTTCACATCTGTGTTAAAGCACGTAACTCTGACAGCCTGTGGCACCCCAGGCTGTTTATACAGCTATTATCCTTACTTCAGTAACATCCTCCAGCAAAGGTGAGCCATCACAGGCTGTGCCTTCTGCTGTCTCCTCAAGTGTCTTCCCATTTGTCTTCAACATATCTAGGAGAGAAATACACAGTCAAGAGGAATTAATACCACTACTAAAGCAGTGGAAAAGTTTTTGTTTGCTGCAAAAGGTGGCAGTAAATGGACCAATATCAATGAGTAGTTTCAGGGTCCATATTAGAAAACTTAGGGATAAATGCCATGGTACATGTCAACATAAAATTTCTGGCTAAACTTGTCCACTCAAATTGCAATGCCTTAAGGTTGTTTTAGCATCAACTAGGGGAACCCCCCCTTTTATTAAAAATTAATTATTTTTTATTTTATTTGAAAGGCCGAGTTACAGATAGAGGAGGAGAGACACAGAAAGAGCTCTTCCATCTGCTGTTTCACTCCCCAAATGGCCACAACAGATAAGGCTGGGTGGGGACAAAGCTAGGAGCCTGGAGCTTCTTATGGGTCTTCCATGTGAGTGCAGGGCCCAAGCACTTGGGCCATCCTCCACTGCTTTCCCAGGTGCATTAGCAGGGAGCTAGATCAGAAGTAGAGCAGCTGGGACATGAATTGGCACTCATATGGGAGAGGCTTAACCTGGTATACAACAATGCTGGCCTCTAAGGGAAATCCTTCTAAAAATAAGAGACAGGAGCTGGAATTGTGGTGTAGCAGACCAAGCCACCACCTGTAACACTGGCATCCCATATGAATGATTATACCAATCCTGGCTGCTCCACTTCTGATCCAGCTCCCTATTGATGTGCCTGTGAAAGCAGCAGAAAATGGCCCAAGTAGTTGGGCTCCTATCACCCAAGTAGGAGACCTTGATAGAGTTCCAGGCTCCTGGCTTTGGCCTGGCCTACCCCTGGCTATTGCTGCCACTTGAGGAGTGAACCAGCAGATGCAAACACTTTCTCTCTCTCTCAGTAATTCTGCCTTTCAAATAAGTAAATGAATCTTCAAAATAAAAGCCATAATATTAACGATCCATTTTGATATAACACCAATAAGCTAACTCACTCACAAACATGGAAAAAATAGAGATAACAAATCCTCTTTTTAAGATTTATTTATTTATTTGAAAGCCAGAATTAGAAAGAGAAGGAGAGACAGAGAGAGATATCTTCCATTAGCTGGTTCACTCCTTGAATGGCTGCAATGCCACAGCTGGCCCAGGATGAAGCCAGGAGCCAGAAGCCAGGAACCAGGAGCTTCTTCCTGGTCTCCCATGTGCGTACAGGGGCCCAAGCACTTGGGCCATCTTCCACTGCTTTCCCAAGTGTATTAGCAGGGAGCTGGATTGGAAGCAGAGCAGCCGGGACATGAACTGTTGCCCATATTGGATGCTGGCACTGCAGATGGCAGTTTAACCTGCTGTGCCACAGTGCCAGGCCCAATGAAGTCTCCTTTATTTCTGGAATATTACCCACCAGTGAGGAACAGAGGAAGAGGCTAATGCATTTCATATTTACTCAACAAATGTCCCCTGGAGATGTCCTTGTACTCTTTAGGGTGCCAATCTACGCATTGGGTTCATCTACCTGGAATACAGGCATCTCTTGCTGCATTATTTTGGTTCAAAAGATTCTGAGCTTCCTCGTCCACAACGTCCAGCAGAGACTGGATAACTTCAGCTTCTTGAGGATCATCATAAACGTCATCTTCTTGTGCATCAGACTCTTGAAAAACAGTAATTTATGCGGGGTTTGGAAATACTGTTGTGAGAGACTCTCAGGAATACTCAGGTCCTTTTCAACTTTAAGCACCCACTTTGAAGAGCAGATATGACTGGAAAAGTAGTTCACACTTACGTGACCCCGTCACTTTTAGTTCTAAAAGTACTCTGGCTGCTATGACAACAGACCATGCAAATGCAACTTACAAAGAATAAACCAGAATCAATGTTGGTTTCAGACCCTTTCGCAAGACATTAATAAATCTCGACTTATTAATTCAGGAAATAAAGAAGTTATGCTACAAAGAACAAGGATATAATAGGTCACATGAAACTCTTCAAAGATAAGTTTTCTAAAGTATTATGTAGTCTGTGAATTGTTGCTCTGTAGAGTATAATAAATAGTATTAAACAAAGCAGCTCTTTTTTTAATCATTTAAAAATAGTTTTAGTCAGAGATAAGAATAGATGCTGGACATTTGAATAGGCATACAGTTAGCAATATTAGCTTTATACCATTCTCTTATTTCTTTGAACAATAATTGTTCCTTTAAAAGTTTCAGAAACATATAAGGCAAACAGAAGAAGATACCTTATATCTTTGTTATCTGAATTACTAGAACATGTAGAATAATAGGATGACTTATTTGGAAAATTACCTGTGGACAGAGTCAGGTTTGTTGATTCCTTTGGCTCACAAGTAGAACATTTTCCTTCAGTGTACAAACCTTCAATTATTTCTTCCCCATTAACCTAAAGTACAAACCCAAAGCAAATCATCAGATTACTAGTTTACTAACTTCTGGGATTAGGGAGGGACTGCACATCACCCCTCTTTACTTCTTCCTTAGTACAGGAGCCATTTTACTTCTCCCAACCTTAGATGAGTGGGTCTAAGAAAAGTCAGGGCAATGAATTGTATAAGAGAAATGGGGCTTTCTGTCATCAAGTACCTCTGGGAACGCTAAGCTAAAAACATTAAATCAATATTTTTATTCAGCAATTCTCACAGTACTTACTAATGTAAATCTGGCATTGCTGAAAGAGAAATATATTATGAAGTGTCTCAATCTTTTTGGACTGCAGAAATCTCTTATTTGAGGCATATTTTATTAGCCTTATCTTCCACAAGACTTTCAGAAAAGTTTAATAGGACTGTAAAAGTTGGGGAAGGGAAGAATAAACATTTTAAGTGTTATGAGGCTGTTAAACAGAGACTGAAACTTAGCAACCTGATCATCTGTTAGGTATAAAGGCTTTTAAATCCAGTCTAAATCTCACATGAATTTAAGAAAAATGACAGTGGATTCACAACCATAAAATAATTACTGAATAGAAGGTAACTTTCTAGGATAATGATAAATTGTGAAGCATTACATGGAGTATGGCTAATAGAAAAACAATTTGGGGAAGAATGAAAAATTAAGTAATTAGGATAAATTAAAATCATTTTAAGCAAATAAAACATTATGGTTTGCTCTTAAAACTGTATTGTTGGGACCAGTGCTGTGGAATAGCAGGTAAGGCTGCCACCTGCAGTGCCAGAATCCCATAGGGGCACTGGTTCAAGTCCCTGCTGCGCCACTTCCAATCCAGTTCTCTGCTATGGCCTGGGAAAGCAGAAGATGGCCCAAGTCCTTGGGCCCTTGCACCTGTGTGGGAGACCCGGTAGCTTCTGGCTCCTGGCTTCAGATTGGTACAGCTCTGGCCGTTGTGGCCATCTGGGGAGTGAACCATCTGATGGAAGACCTCTCTCTTTCTCTCTCTACCTCACCTCTTTGTAACTTTTTTTTTATAATTTTTTAAAAATTTATTTATTTGAAAGTCAGAGTTACACAGAGAGAGAAGGAGAGGTAGAAAGGTAGGTAGGTAGGTAGGTAGGTAGGGAGAGAGAGAGAGAGAGAGAGAGAGGTCTTCCATCTGCTGGTTCGCTCCTCAGTTGGCCACAACAGCCAGAGCTGTGCCAATCTGAAGCCAGGAGCCAGAAGCTTCCTCCAGGTCTCCCATGTGGGTGCAGGTGCCCAAGGACTTGAACCATCTTCCACTTTTCCAGGCCATAGCAGACAGATGGATCGGAAGTAGAGCAGGTAGAACTTGCACTGACACCCATATGGGATGCTGGCGCTGCAGGTGGCGGCCTTACCTGCCATGCCACAGTGCTGGCCTTGTACCTTTCAAATAAATAAATAAATATCTAAAAAAAAAAACTTTATTGTTTTTATTTTGATAAAAATGATAAGGAAATGCAATAGAATTATTGCTTCATAAACAGTGGTGACATAATGATGTCACAAAACTTCTTGGGTTGTAAAATTCCATTTTTCCTAAAAAACTTGTAATGTAGACATTAATATTCAAGGACAGAACACTGGGAGGCCTGCTTTGAGACTTTAACTCCAATACACATGATTGTAGCCAAGAACAACAAAGTGTCTTGATTCCTGGGGGTTTTATGTTAATGAAACAGAAATTCCACCTCTGTCTCAACAACATGCTGATATTTAAAAAGAAAATAAGCACTATATAGGATGAGTAACATTAACAACACATGAAAATTCTTTATTTCAGGTACATGAAATCGAGGACCTCTGAACAGAGGATAGCATAAGCACATATTTATAAAGAAATTTATTTTTGTGTCACAGTCATTTCTGCCTTAATATTCTTCTGGGCGTGATCTTTTCAGGACTTACTAAACCCAGTTACAAGTATGAGTAACACAGTGAGATGAAAGTCAGAATTTTGGACTTTTGGTCACTAAATTAATTTTTTCCATCTATACTAAATCAAGCTCATGTCCAGAATCCTGTTGAGATACTAAAATTTTCAGGTTACTAGGAAAGCGATGCAATTCACATGGAAAGACATTCTACATTTCACATTATATAGAAAGACATTTCAGTAGTGAGACTCAGAATAAGTTATGTGAGATATGTGTAAGTAAAACCGTCCATAAATTAAAGACCCAGCTATGATCATTTTGGAAAAGGACATTATATACCAGTAAGAAAACCATAAAAAGAAATTCTAGCCAAAAAACTGGGCATGTAAGTAGAAAAGAGAGAATGGGAAGTAGAATTTAGTTATGCATTAACATAGTTTTGTTAATTCATTCCCAGATTTCTTAGTGCTAATCTTAAATGAGTTACACTCTCATTTTATTTTGTGATAAAGCATTTTTCTCAGTCTTTCAAAAACAAGTAACCTATTTCTTTGTCCATTACTGTTTTTATCTCACTTGTAGCATAAACTTAACATTTTCAGGTCAATTCCACTCTTACCTACATTCTTCTTTTCCTGTGGTCAAAGGGACAATGAAAAGAGCTGCCCACATTGATAACAACAACAACAAAGTAGCCTTAAAATAATGATTAATAAGTCATTGGTTTATTTAGGAACTGTTATGCCAGAAGATATGGGGTTATGGCAAATATTTAAATATGAAATGTTTGGTTTCAGAGATAAACCAGTGGGTTATTCAGATAAGGAGGTCCTGTCGTGAAGGACGGCGGCCGTTTACTTACCTTGGAGAGTGAGTTTTCAGGAGTGAGGCCAGGATGGTCACAAGGCTCCACAGTGTGATGTCCTGAAAGGAGCAACACAGAAAGTAGGAGGATGAGCCAGTCAAAACCACAACAGACACATCACACTAATTAAAGAAAATCCATGTTTCTGAGGATGCTATTATTTTTTATTAGTATACTAAAAGACATCACACCACAAAGTGATTTAAACCAATTAAATGTTAACAAGCATTAAAGAAGGGACTATCCCAAGGAAAAAGCCGATTTCTTAAAAGAAAACAGTTCACAGAACAATTCATTTTAGACTGACTGGTTCAAGTGTGACACACTGAATGTAAATTACTCCATATGAATGGGAAAGATATCTCAGGTGCTAAACTATACTTACTTTATGATTCAAAAGAAGATAGCAAGCTTTTTATCTCATTACAATAAAGGCTAACACTTTAGCACAGGAAAACATCCTGTGGATATAACTCAAAAGTTTTAAAAATATTTCTAAATAGTTTATTTTAACTATCAGTACAAAATCTAACACCTACACTAAAATAAGTAGATTATGTTTAACAGTTAAAAAGTCACAAATTTAAGCTTTATTTGATTTATTAAATTATACTTTAAAGATATTTAGAAAGGTATGGTACAGTTTGGAAAAATTAAAAACAAGCAACAACAAAAACATACACAGTTAAATGTATTCACGGACCTCTGTTCAAGGAACTCTATTTGACCTAAAAATAATCCTGCCAAGAAAGAGGAAAGGTTGTTAGGGAACCATTCTCGGAGAAAGTAACTGCGCAGTAGAAAAGTAACTGCTCTAGAGCCTAAGTTTGAAAAGGGACGGGCCTGATCAGACGGCCTAACTGCAAACCACAAACCAACTGTCATAACCATTGTCGCCATGACTACAGGACCCTGGGAGGTCGGCAGGTGGGTGGGGCTAGCTTCTAGAAACTGTATATAAGGGGGCCCTCAGACACTGTAAAGCAGAGGTTGCTCAGCCTCTCTCCCTGGTCCGTAGCATCTAGTGCCCGCAGGAGTAGGCTTGAGTGATCTCTCCTCCTAGTCGCCTAGAGTACCAATAAAGTGTGTTTAGCTTGACCTTCCTCAGTTTCCTTGACTCTTCCTTTGTGGCAACCTGGCCAGTTCCTGGAGGGGGAGATCCTGACAGCTGGTGCCTGAACAGGGACCTGAAGTTGGACGGTGAGGAGACGAGCCCTTGAGGAATCATCAAAAGGGTGAGTAGCAGTGGTTGAAAGAGACCACTATGGGTGGGACGTCCCAGTCTAAAGAATATAGACAGGCACTAGTGAGTATAGAGAAGGTGAAGGTCCTTCTAGGCCAGGCACCAAGAGGTAAGAAAGTGAAGTGCTACTCACCAGGAAATGTAATATGGGCTTATAAGCTGGCAGCAGCTTGTACAGGATGGGACCTCCAAGATCTGCAGACCTTGGAAGAAGTAGAAAACCTCCTGGAGGAATTTCTACAAAGAGGAGAAGGTGCCACAACAGGGAAAGATTATAAATGTGCAGTAGACACCCTTAAGGTGTTAATTTGTTGTGGCAAGGGATTAAATCCAAAAAATACAGGAGACGCCTGTAAGCTCTATGACGCCGTAACAGAATGTAGGCAAAAACCTCAGGTTATTCCCAGAGAGTTAAGCAAGGAAGAAAAAGCAAAAGAACAGTCAGCTTACCTGATAATGTTAAGAGGTGGTAGACAAGCATATGAGCCTGTGGGACCTGGACTAATAGCCGCTTGGCTTAAACAAGTGCAGGAACACGGTCTCACGCACCCGGCTACCATCACTTACTTTGGGGTAATTTCAATAAACTTTACATCAGTAGACATCAATATGCTACTAAATGTAACTCCTGGCTTTGCACAGTCATAGACAAGATAAAAGAGAAGGTGACAGCATGGGATGAGATGCATCCCCCTCCCCCAGCCGACGGGGCTGGACCAGTGCCACTAACATCAGATCAAATTAGGGGAATTGGATTATCACCAGAAGAAGCAGCTGGCCCTAGATTCGCTGATGCCAGAGCCCTCCATAGAACATGGGTTCTTGAGGCGCTTCAAGAATGCCAGAGAACTATCAGTGGGGCCCCTAAAGCAGTCAGCATCAGACAAGGGCCCAAAGAACCCTACCCTGAGTTTATTAATCGATTATTTACTCAGATTGATATGGAAACATCTAGAGAGGATTTGAGAACATATTTAAAGGACACCATGAGCATTCAAAATGCTAATGAAGAATGTAAAAAATTGCTTAGAAATTTAAGACCAGGAGATTCGTTAGAAGAAAAAAATGTATGCCTGTAGAGAATCTGGATCCACCTCCTATAAGATGGCCTTAAAGGCTGCAGATAGACAGCAAGGGTCAAGAAGTTTTCAGGGAAATTGTTACAGGTATGGAAAAAAGGGGCATATGGCAAGAAATTGTAGGAGTGGAGAAAAAACTCTGCTAAAATGGTATAATTGTGGGAGAACAGGACATATGGCAAAAGTATGTAGACAGCCAAAAAACGGGAAAGTGGGGGGCAATGCCCCCCGGACCATGATGGCATCTGCCCAGAGTATCCAGTCATCTATCCCGCTGTCTGCCCCATCCCTGGGGGAAATACAGACGGAAGCCCCTGCGACAGGGATCTACCCAAAACTACCAAAATAGAATTAAGACAAAGACCTACCTTAAAGGTAAACCTAGGGGGAAAAGATTTAATAGGGCTGTTAGACACAGGGGCCGATTTAACTATAATAAGGGAACAAGAGGCTAAAGGAATAAAAGAAGGGATAACAGAAGGATGGCAAAATATAGAGGAGGTGGGAGGGTGCTCTAAATTACAAAAAATATCACAGGTTACACTGAAAGACAAAAAGGGAAGGAAGACAAAGACATCCATTCTAACATCCCCAGATATTCCCATCAATATATTTGGAAGGGATATCTTAACAAAGTTTGGGGTACCCTAATTATGGCGCAACTCTCTACCCAAATTACCCCAATATAATAAAGGTCCCTTGATTCCCCAATGGCCTTTAACCAAAGAAAAATTAGAAGGAATTAAGGAAATAACAAAAAGACTACTAGAGGAAGGGAAGATATCTTCAGCAGACCCTGATAATCCCTGGAACACCCCAATATTTGTGATAAGGAAAAAATCAGGTAAATGGCAAATGTTAATAGATTTTAGAGAACTTAATAAATTAGTAGATAAGGGAAGAGAAGTTCAGTTAGGTGTTCCACACCCTGGAGGATTACAAAGAAGAAATCAGGTTACTGTTTTGGATATAGGGGATGCTTATTTTACCATCCCTCTGGATAAGGACTTCAGGCAGTACACTGCCTTTACCATCCCAGAGGTTAATAATCAAGGTCCAGGCCATAGGTATGTTTGGAATTGCCTCCCACAAGGTTTTGTATTGAGTCCCTTGATTTACCAAAGTACACTAAGGGACGTACTAGAGCCCTGGAGACAACAATATCCAGAGGTAGATCTTTATCAGTATATGGATGATATATATATTGGGTCCGATCATTCTCCAAAACACCACAAACTGATCGTAGCAAAACTCAGAAAAATGCTTTCAGAAAAGGGATTCGAGACCCCGAATGAGAAATTACAAGAACAATATCCTTACTCATGGATGGGGTACTTGTTGCACCCGAATAAATGGGCATAGCAAAAACTAGAGTTGCCAGAACTTCCAGAGAAGCCCACCCTAAATGAACTACAAAAGTTAGTAGGACTCCTTAATTGGGTGACCCAAGCTGTTCCCGGAATTAAGACAAAACCTTTACTCTTATGATGAAGGGAAACCAAGAGTTAAATAGTATCAGGGAATGGACCCCCGAAGCAAGACAGGAGTTATAGACTATAAGGAGGCTATTACAAGAACACAAACCTTTAAGCTACTGGGACCCCAGCAAGGAAGTTTACTGTACAGTTATGATGGGAGGTAACACCATAAATTATAAAGTGCACCAAGGATCTGATATTCTTTGGGTAGGTAGACAGGAATTTCCAAAGGTATTAGCAGCATCTCCTCTAACTAGAGCCCTAAAATGTCTACATAAAATCAGACAAGAATGCATTATTCAAATAGGGCAAGAACCTATATATAGGTTACCTATTAAAAAAGAGGATTTAGATGTTATGATTCAGGAAGACCCCTACTTGCATTGGGTACCACAGATTGGATGTATCCATGCACCTTTAATGCTTAGAAGAGCACTAAGCAGTCTTCAAGGTCATCCCGTGCCAGGACCTACTTACTATTTTGATGGAGGAAGCAAACAGGGGCAAGGAAGATATGGCTTTTGGAGATCAGATGGAGTTAAATTAGTTAAGGAGAGTGAGGGAAGTAATTGAGAATTAGAAAAAAGAGCCACGCTACTAGCCCTTCAAGGACCCCTGATAATGAATATAGTTACGGACTCCCAATATGTATATACATTAATTGAGGCCAGACCCTTACCTGTAAATATTGAAGAACCCTTGCTTAGAACCATATTAGAAGCTATAGAAAGTAAAGAAGAAATTTACATTCAATGGGTGCCTGGACATAAGGGAATCCCAGGCAATGAAAATATTGACAAATTAGTTTCACAAATAAATACAACTCAAATAAACCTGGTAGTACAAGGTGGTCATATTAAGGAAAAAGAACCAGAACAGATTGGATACTCCATACATGCCCCAAAAGATCTGGTACTTATGCCAAAGGTAATAGAGACCCTTAACCTACAAACATGAATTACCATAATCCCAGGACAGTGGGGGTGGATAACAGAAACATCAGAGATGACTGAGGCCAAAGTAAGGGTAGTTGGAGGTTTCATCAGCCCAGGAGATCAAAATCCTTTAAATTTATTTATTTTTTTGACAGGCAGAGTGGACAGTGAGAGAGAGAGACAGAGAGAAAGGTCTTCCTTTTGCCATTGGTTCACCCTCCAATGGCCACCACGGCCGGCACGCTGCGGCCGACGCACTGCGCTGATCCGATGGCAGGAGCCAGGTACTTATCCTGGTCTCCCATGGTGTGCAGGGCCCAAGCACTTGGGCTATCCTCCACTGCACTTCCCTGGCCACAGCAGAGAGCTGGCCTGGAAGAGGGGCAACGGGGACAGAATCCGGCGTCCCGACCGGGACTAGAAGCTGGTGTGCTGGTGCCGCAAGGCGGAGGATTAGCCTAGTGAGCCATGGCACCGGCGAAGATCAAAATCCTTTAAAGATAAGATTGGTCAACCTATCCTAAAAAATAGTATATGTAAAAACAGGACAACTAATAGCTCAGTTAATTTTAATGCCTGTCCTCCATGACATAAGTAAGGCAGCAAACATCTTTTTTCTAGAACATATTGAGACAGCCACGGACGATCATGCTAAATGGCATAGTCATACTTGAGACAACAATTCAGTTTACCAAAAATCGTAGCAGAACAAATAATGAAGAACTGCCCCAAGTGTGTGCATAAAAGAGAAACTACTACTCATATTAGTAGATCAGGGCCAGGACTGTGGCAAATGGACATGACCCACTATGAGGCCTGGCTAATTCTGGTAGCCATTGAGATATCTCTGGCCTTCTATGGGCTAAGCTAATTCCTAAGGAAACTGCTCAGGAAATAGTATGGGGAATATAAGAACTACAGAACCTATTTCATATCCAGGAACTCCATACAGATAATGGCCCTAACTTCACAGCAGAAAGGGTCATGGGACTGTGCCAATATTTAAATATTGATCATACCACAGGCACACCCTATAATCCACAGTCGCAGGGAATGGTTGAGAGAGCTAATCAATCCTTAAAACAAGAAATGGCTAAATTTGCTGATGTAGTTCAAACCATTGAAGCACGGCTACAGTTGGCTCTTATCGCCCTTAATCAAAAGAAAAGGGGAGGAATAGGGGGCTATATTCCTACTGAAAGATATAGCCATCAGAGATGGCAAGAACTAGAGCAAACACTCCAACTCCAGAAATTTTAAGACAAAAAACTCTTTTGCTTTTATAGATTACCAAACAGTAAAGACTGGAAAGGGCCACTACCATCCTTTGGAAAGGAGAAGGAGCAGTAGTGATCGAGACACCTGAAAAGGGGATTATTAGCTTGCCCCAAAGACATGTTAGGATGGTTCCAGCCCAGGACCTCAGGATTTGGGAATTTCCAATTAGGCACTAATGGAATATCCATTGCAATTATCCTGTCAAAAGAACTCATGTGTTTTTAAGAAATGCAGATACCACTGTCAGTTGTGCTTTTTACAGAAAGAATTAGGGATTTCATATTCCAGAGCTAGGACTAAAGAACTCCAGAAATGGCGACAGCAGCAGCAAACGGAGAAATGTACATTAAAGGAAGAGAAGCAAAAGACCTCTATGAACAGTATGCACTTGAACAATTAAGTGAGGAAGAAAACCCACCATTTGTAAACCCTTTTGAGGGACTGCCCGAGGACCAACAAGATGAATTAGCAGCCCGACAACAAGCACATCTACAACAGGTAAAAGAAGAATTAAAGAGACTGGACTCAGATAAAGGTAAGTTAATCGAAGGTAAGCGAGCGCTTAAACAATTTAAAGTATTAGGTAACTTAATGAGATTGTGGGAAAGATTTGAACTACCTATGCTCAGAGCTTATGGATTGATAATGACAATTATCTTAATTCTGTCTCTCTTATTTGTAAAAATGGCTCAGAGCATAGATATACTAGATGCAGACCTCCAAGTAATAATCACGCAACACATTGTTTTTGGCAGGCAGGATATGAAATGTTTCACAAACATTTTGTAAAAACTCCAGTAAGGGAAGACCCAGAAGTTGGACATGCAGGACCAAAGGGGAGGTATTGTATGCTAGATGCACATACCCATTAGATTTTTTTTTTTTTTTTTTTGGACAGGCAGAGTGGACAGTGAGAGAGAGAGACAGAGAGAAAGGTCTTCCTTTGCCGTTGGTTCACCCTCCAATGGCCGCCGAGGCCGGCGCACTGTGGCCGGCGCACTGCGCTGATCCGAAGGCAGGAGCCAGGTGCTTTTCCTGGTCTCCCATGGGGTGCAGGGCCCAAGCACTTGGGCCATCCTCCACTGCACCCCCTGGCCACAGCAGAGAGCTGGCCTGGAAGAGGGGCAACCGGGACAGAATCCGGCGCCCTGACCGGTACTAGAACCCGGTGTGCCGGCGCCACAAGGCGGAGGATTAGCTTAGTGAGCCGCAGCACTGGCCGACCCATTAGATTCTAAAAAGGAGCTCGGTTACTATATAAGGGACTTGGGATGGGAAGAGAGAATGATAACATTCTTGGCTCCACATATGGTGGTAAAGGCAACTCCCTTCACATATGTACCAGTAAATATGTCTGATTTGACTACACCAATCAAACCGATGTGCAAAAACAGAGACTTTGGAGTAACAGCAGCTATTGTCGCTACAGCAGTGTCAGCAGCCGCGGTAGCCGGCATTGTGACTGGAGCACTGGCTCTAAGCACTACCCAACTACAGGGAGATGCTTTGGAGTCCCTCCTGAAGGTAATTCAGGAGCAGCGGGCTCAGCTACATGAGCAGTCAGCACTGCTTAAGACACATGCTATGAGCCGACGCTGCGGCTCACTAGGCTAATCCTCTGCCTTGCGGCGCCGGCACACCGGGTTCTAGTCCCGGTTGGGGCACCGGATTCTGTCCCGGTTGCCCCTCTTCCAGGCCAGCTCTCTGCTGTGGCCAGGGAGTGCAGTGGTGGATGGCCCAAGTACTTGGGCCCTGCACCCCATGGGAGACCAGGATAGTACCTGGTTCCTGCCATCGGATCCGCGCGGTGCGCTGGCCGTGGCGGCCATGGAGGGTGAACCAACGGCAAAGGAAGACCTTTCTCTCTCTCTCACTGTCCACTCTGTCAAAAAAACAAAACAAAACAAAACAAAACAACCACATGCTATGGGGCTCCAGATGCTCAAAGCACGCACGCTACAAATAGAACAAATAATTACCATACTAGCTTTGGAAAGAGAACTCAAGTGTGAAGCGATTGGAAGAGTTTGCCTTACCACCATTCCATGGAACAATCTATCCATTCCTAATGCAACACAACTAGCTGATATGTTCAAACACAATCATTCTACTTGGCTAGAGTGGGTAAATGCAACCGCTCATCTTGAGGCTAACATTACTAAGAGAGCTCTATGGATAATACAGCTTCAAAATATAGCGGCATTTAAGATAGGTCAGGTCAGAACAGTGGAACAGACTATAAATACTCTGACTGACACAGTTTCCTCTTGGCTCCCATCCTGGAAATGGTTTAAAATAGGGGCAATATTCTGTATGGTTCTTGTATGCTTGCCTATCTTACAGCACCTCTTCTCAATTGAACGGAATTTCGCGAAGGGATACCTGGCCCTCCGAGAGGAACCCAGCCCACCAGAAATAGAAGAAGAAGAAGAAAAAGGAGACCCTGAATCTGGAAATCAATTCGGGATATGCTCAAGAATATTCATCCCCTTGGCCCAGCGGCTCAACGGCTTTACAGGACTATGAGAGCATTTAAAGAAAAGAAAAGGGAGGACTGTTAGGGAACCATTCTTGGAGAAAGTAACTGTAGCACCCAGCTATCCCATTCCCTGGCATTTACCCAAAGGAAATTAAATTGGCAAACAATCAAGCTGTCTGCACATTAATGTTTATTGCAGTTCAATTCACAATAGCTAAGAGCTGGAACCAACCCAAATGCCCATCAACAGTAGACTGGATAAAGAAATTATGGGATATGTACTCTATAGAATACTATACAGCAGTAAAAAACAATGAAATCCGGTCATTTGCAACAAAATGGAGGAATCTGGAACACATCATGCTGAGTGAAATAGTCCCAAAGGGACAAATATCATATGTTCTCCCTGATCGGTGACAACTAACCGAGCACCAAAAAGGAAACCTCCTGAAGTGAAATGGACACTATGAGAAACGGTGACTTGATCAGCTCTTGCCCTGACTGTTGATGAACAACTTAATACTTTATCCCTTTTAGTATTTTTTTTGTTCTAGTTAATACTATTGGTTGAACTCTGTAATTAACACACAATTATTCCTAAGTGTTGAAACTTAACTGAAAAGTGATCCCTGTTAAATATAAGAGTGGGAATAAGAGAGGGAAGAAATGTACAATTTGGGACATGCTCAATCCCAAATTGACTTGCCCCAAATGGTCGAGTTAGAAACATGCCAGGGGATTCCAATTCAATCCCATCAAGGTGGCATGTACCAATGTCATCTCACTAGTCCAAGTGATCAATTTCTGTTCACAACTGATCATAATGATAGGACTAAGAGTCAAAGGGATCACATAAACAAGACTAGTGTCTGCAAATACTAACTGATAGAATAAAAAAAAGGGAGAGAACGATCCAACATGGGAAGCAGGATACACAGCAGACTCATAGAATGGCAGATGTCCTAAACAGCACTCTGGCCTCAGAATCAGCCCTTAAGGCATTCAGATCCGGCTGAAAAGCCCATGAGAGTATTTCAGGCATGGAAACCCAAGACACTCTGGCAAACAACAAACAAACAAACAAACAAAAGACCTAAATGAAAGATCTCTACGAGTGAGGTGAGATCC